TATGAGACAGGGAGCAACTGTTAGCAAATGCCACTTACATGGATGGACGAACACTGGCGTGCACTCTCTGCAGTTCGTACAGTGGGTACACTCCCGCCATGAGGGCAAAGACAACCATCGCCGCTGCCACGAACAGAGGCGTGACCACAACAGGGTGTCTGAGCTGGTTGAGCCTGAAGCAAAAGCAACATAGCAGGATTAACGCCTGAACCTGATTCCTGCGAGTGAACTGAGCAGATTACATGTCTAAGGAGAGGCTAGGAAGCATGATCTCCCGGAGCAGAGGTTGCTGGTCGTGCATGCAGGGTGGTAATGAATGGCATGGATGTGTGTGGGTCGGTGCAAAAGGACAATCTGGAAAAGTGGGATTCAAGTTGGTGCAGTGCTGACTGCGCTCCCAAATCCCAATGATGGCAAGACCCTATCGTTGGCATTAGCCACCAACACGCCATTTGCAATTCCCATCCGTTTTCTTCCTTCCAGACTTCCGCCCAGACTTGCACATTCTCTTCACCAAGCAGCAGAAAATAACAATTCCTTTGGCTCAGCGAGAATCCAATGCACACCACACTTTTGTCTGCAACTGCAATTGACCCATCTCATGGCGATGGACCAGCACACATGCCCATCGCCAAACCGGCGTTTCCCCGCACAATGCACCCAGCCCTCACCGTCCTCGCCACTCTTCGCCGCGCCCCGGCCCCCCGTCCGCCTCTGACCCGCCCCCTGGGGCGAACTCCAGCCTCGGGCGCCCGACCTGGCGGTCCTCCCTCAGCTCCATCGGCACCCCCCCGGCCCTGTCCACCACCTTGCCCCGCCCCACGCAGCACGGCGCAACCGGCGACACCCCATCCCCCGCCACCTCGCACGCCCGCCACGATGCCGCCGATCGGCGCCAAAGCTCCACCCAGCCCCATGACGTCCCACGATCACGGTCCATTTTCCCCCCCTCGTCTCCTTCCCCCCGATCGCCCTCGATCTCGACGGGGCCGGACCCGCTCGGGCCCGCAGGGCCCAGCCACGGGAACAGGTCCCTGGCGTCCACCACCCTCGGCCGCTCGTCCCTGGGCCTCCGAAAGAGACGGAGGGCGGGCAGGCGCAGGCGTAGCCCCGACGACGACTTTGTCGCGGCGGTTGACGGGGAATCGCCAGACGCCAATTGCCCCCCGTGGCGGCGGCGCCACCACGGGAATAGCTCACGGAAGTCCACCACGGCGCCGTGCGCGCCGCTAGAGAGGGCCGCGTCCGCCGATCGCGTCAAAGTGCGGCGTGCCGACGGCGGAGGGCTCCCCCCTCGCTCGTCGCCCGCGGGCGTGCCCACGCCGTCAACCACGCTGGAAAATTGAGACGAATAAGTTTCCCTCCCCGTGTGGATCAGCACGGTCCCCGAGCTGCGGCTGCTGCCCAGCGCCGAACCCACGGCCGCTAGCCCGGATCCGGAGCTGCCCTTCCCGCTGCCATTCACCCTGCCGCCCCCGGGCATCCCATCATCCACGCTGGAAAACTGAGACGAGTAAGTCTCCCTGCCTGAATGAATCAACACGGTCCCGGAACTGCGGCTGCTGCCCAGCGCCGACCCCGCGGCCGGCTGCAAGGGTCCCGCGTTGCCCAAGCCGCTGCCATTCGCCCTGCCGCCCACGGGCGTCCCATCATCCACGCTGGAAAACTGGGACGAATAAGTCTCCCTGCCTGAATGGATCAACACGGTTCCCGAGCTGCGGCTGCTGTCCAGCGTCGACCCTGCGGCAGGCTGCCCGGATCCCGCGTTGCCCACTCCGCTGGCGTCCGCCTCCCTACCCCCGGCAATGGATCGCGCAGGGATCCCGGTTTCCACATCCGCCGCAGGGCCGGGGCTCATCCTCGACTCGCCGGACGCGCCCGACCGGACCCACGTCGGACACACCACCACACCCGTCTGCGCCGACAGGTCGCTCTCGGCATCCATTCCCCGCCCCTCTCGCCAAGGCACCACGCCACGCCAAACGATGCAAATTTAACTAACGACCGCCCAATCCTCCCCAAATTCCCACCCTTCCCGGTCCCCGCTACCCACGCACGTCCCCACACCGCTCACACGGCTACCGATCCAACGCTCTCGCCCGCTCCCCGCAACCCCAAGGGGCCCCCTCGAACAAAAAGAGGCTTGAGTTGTCCCCGGAGCTTGGACCCGGGCCGGCCAGGCCGCGCCCCTATGAACCCCAGAGGACGCGGCTGCGCCAACCCCCGCGCGCCGCCTAATAGGGCGCCCCGCCCCTGATGCGCCCGGCCCCAATGTGTCCGCGGGGGGCGGGCGCCAGAGCGGGCGGAGCGCGGGGCATAGACGCGCCCTTGGCTGCGCTTTGGGTCAGTCAACGCGCGGATGGCGGACGGTGGGTCAGCAGCCGAGTCCCTTTCGCACCGCCGGGCCTGCACTTAGGAGAGGTGACGAAGGTACCATCAGTGGATCGGCAGATCAATGGGCAACCAACGTGGGTCGGTGGGCGAGATTGCGGGACGCTCCCGAGCCGAGGAGTGGCGTATCCTGCGTGGGTCAGTCGGTCAGGCCGGTGCGCCTCCCCGAATGGACTGCACGGACGCAACCCGCGTGATAAACCCATTCGTGGTGCAACGGTCACTGCCATTGGAGGGCGGACAAGGCGATCAGGAGATCCAGCTGACTTGCAACAGATCCCGAGGGTGGCACTTGAGTTCTGCAGGTCACCTTTTGCAGGCTCAGGCTCCCCACTACAAGAGGGAAACGTCGTCGACGCTGGTCCGACTCGTGGCTGCAAGGGGACCAATGACTCCCCCATTCAGAGCACGCTGAACTTCAATGCCGGTTCAGGTTCCCACAACGGTTGGTCTCAGCCCTCAATTAGGTCGGGAATATTCCAGCCGCTTCCTTTGAAGGCAGCTGCCCCAAGGACCAAACCCTGGTCAGAAAACCAAACCTGTCCCCTACGCAACGAAAGAAAGCCGTGTCTTCGAATCTCAAACGGTGCCTGGCTCCGCGCAATGGCTTCAGAAAGTTCTTTCATTCCCAAAGAATAATACCTTCTTGCACCAAAGGAGAGCAGACAGCAAGATACTAAATGAGCATTCTTCTCTTGATCAGGAGGATAGTGCTCCTGGGTGCCGTCATGACGCTGCAATGATGCCGCAGATGCGCATTCGGGGCAGCAGCAATGGTGTTTAAGATGGTGAGCTGGAGCGAAAGAAAGGATGCACCAGCTCTGTTTCGCCACACCAACTCGCCATGGCCCACACATCGAGAGCTCCAAGAGATTTCCCCTTGACAGCTCAACCAGTAGGCCTCGTGGAGTCTGTGTATGCTGCACACAGTGCCTTGTACTATGGTCTGCAGACTATCAGTCATTGCTGCTTGGCGTGGCACACATCGACTCCCCAGCATTGCCAACCTGGCGCGCAGATGGTGAGAAATCGACACTAGATGCACATGAGGACTATTCCCAACCAGTGGCACTATCTCCGACTTCACACTAATGTCATTCCGTAAGTGTGGGTGGGAGAGGATCCCCAACTTCTGGCTACCTGAACTGGTGCAGCCAAAATGGGTGATAAGGTGTGCAATAATGTCGCAATGATCCTTTCTGAATCGGTAAAATACCATAGCCAAGTTGGCATATTCACACCACACCAAAATCATCCTCATTCATAACATTCTGTGGGTGATGAGTGATGACAACCCAGCAGAATACAGCGTGGATCAGCTGGCGATTTCTACCACCTCAAAGTCATTCGTTGGATCACAATGCTCTGCCTTTGAAGGAGGTGCTCACCATAGACATCATTCACTGTTTGGACTGTACTGTGGCAACCTAACCATGGCCTGCCCACTGACAGAAGTATGAGTAGCGATTCATCACATCATCAAGATTGAGTTGCTGATATGATATGTTGTTCGAGTTCATAGAATTGCCTTTGTTGTATCTGCGTACCGTAGCATTATGGACGTATGTGGCTGTAGATCACGTCCCGCCTATGAATCATGCGCTGGATACAATTGGACTGTCAACACAACGCAATCTAAACAAGAATATTCAATTGCTTACAATGCCAAGGCTCTCTTTCTGTTCTTTTCCATCAACTCTCTGGCGACTTGTTCCAACAGGTCTGGTGGTTCGCTTGTTCACAAGCTCGCACATTGGCTGTGATTGGCTGTCAGCCTATCCTTCACGCAATGCTGCCATGCTAGTCTCTGCCTCCTTGAAGTCGTTCCTGGCAGCCTCCTGAAGCGATTTCATACTCTCCAGCTCCTTTTTAGCTTTCTCAGCCTCACCCACAAGAGAATCCAACACATCTCCCTTTGGGGCCAAAAAATACCTGTCCAACACACAGGGTGAATCTTACTTGACTCACCCATGAACAGCATCATTCAATACCTTTGTCGCTGCTAGCCGACTGATGAAGATGTCCCTGGTAGGAGTTCGGAGGGCACCAATTCCAGTCATGCACGTTGTAATGGTGACACCCATGCATAAACAAGCTAATGGACCAAATATCAGCAGAATGGCTAAAGGGGCAGCTTGGTGTCTGTGTTGAATGCTCTTCCTGCTCCACTCGAAGGCTTCTTCATGAGCATCCATGTCGTAGGAAATAGAGCAAAACTAGTGTTCATGAATTGGGTGTTCAATGCATGGCAATTTCTTTGTTTAAAATGGAAAATTTCATTTTGTTGTCTGATCATCTGTTGTTCAACACAGAGTGGTGTTGCAACACTACACGACTCAACCAACACCACAACAACCATCCCCCAAAGTGGCTATGCAATCCAGGGAAAAACAAATCTCCACCCAAGAGAAGTGAAATACGACAAATCTTGCGCCCCTTCCCCGCCCCCACCCACCCAGAAAGAGACAACAACACTGGCAGTTAGACGACAAGATCGACATAAACAATGAATAATTCAAGTCAGGCCGGTCCCATCCCTGCCATAAAGATTTGTCGATATCTTGGTGCATTTGACACCTTGGATGCAGCCCACAACGCCCCCCAAAGTCAGGCACAGGGGAAACTATACTCACGCTCGGCCCACTGTCCTGTAGACCCTTGCATCCTCTGGCAGTGGCCGAATCTGTTCAGCTACCAGCTCCGCTTCCTGCAGGCTGCGCTCCTTCATCCTCTGTTGGCTCTGCAACTGTTCCACACACAACCTCGTCAACTGGCTGTCCCTTCACCAGTTCAGAAACGGGATTTTCCCCATTCATTATTGGGAGCACGCCTGCTCTGTTTTGTTGCAAGGTCCAAGGGCCTGGTTGGTCCATTCCTCAACCATGCATCTGTCATGGGAATTTGCTGGCGATGGGGACTGAGAGAGAAGTGCGGGTTGGAGCAATACCTCACAGCACCTGTGCCATTCTTTCTGCGCTGTGAGGAGCTACGGGCAGAGATGTTTATTATGAATGTTTGCTGGTAAAGTAAATGCTCAACGGTGCCCATTCCAGCTGGGGTAGTATTTGCTACACTGCAAAAGAAAATAGGTCACGCACAGGGCACCCCTTCCCAAGCAAGTGAGTGTAAGACTCTTTCCATACTGTGAAAGATGACTCACAGTCTCTCAGTGCAAGATGATGCGCACTAGAACAGCGCTAGAGTGCTGTCCCAACCTGCTGGCATCCATGGCCAAACACACACCACAGGTTTCCACCAAATCTGCCTCACTGCACGACTAGCGTTGCCCCTCGCAAGGTTTCGCAGCCCAGAGACTGCATGGCTTTGACTGCTCTTCACGCGTACGGCCCCCCACGATCATGCAACACTGGGTTCCACACTTAGATCCTGCCAGCCGGGCCCCATCGCCTTCCCTCTGCTCGCGAATCCCCACAACGATTGCTGTCCTTGTCACCAAAGGCCCCCCCACCCCCCCACACCCAGCCTTCCCACGCTCCCCTTTTGGCGATCTGCAATCTTCCTACATTCCTGAGCCGCAGGTGCGCGTCGCTCATCCTGTCTTGAAGCTCGAAGGCGGCCTTGCGCTGCGCCTCAACGTCCGCCATCGCGCCCCTCCGGTTCCACGGGAGCTGCCGCACGCTCTTCCCGAGCGGCCGGCCTGCACTCACGGCTGGTGCTCCCTGCAGTCGTCGGCAACTGCCTGGGACCGTGACGCGATTGGATCACCACGCGTCAACACCCCCAACGAGTTTCTTTCCAAATCCTTTGTCAGAGCATGTTTTACCAAATCCCTTTTTTCCCTCGCGAAGATAAACCGCTCTTCTAATGTCTTTTGTGTGTCACGTTTTCGTTTATTTTTTCGTTCCTTTTTGTGTTTTCTTCCATTTTTTTTCTCTTGAGCATCACGGTTTTTGGTCTTTCAGGCAATGGGAGAAGGATTTCTGATTGCTTCCCCAGGAACTGCAGATTAAAATTAGGCGTTCCGAACAACGCACCAGCGGAGAGTCCCGCAGTGCAAATTCAGCTCCCGCAAGGCACACGTGATGTGACGTTTGTTGCTGTTCAGGCGGGCTCACATGGAGGTTGCATTGTGTGGTGTGCGCACCAGACGTGCGCTGGTCGCGCGCCCGGGCGTCGAGCACCGCGCGCAGTGGCGCCGCGGCCCCCCATCGGCCCGGCGCCGCACCCCTTTGGCCCCCTCCTTCAGACGGGAGGGATTCCTGCGATCAACAAGCACCGAGACGGCGAAGTTTCGTCTGCCCGTGAAGTACTGTGCCCTTCACGGGGCCCCCTGGGCCATGGATGCCCTGCTGCCAGCTGCACTGGGCGACGGTGCGCCCAAGGCGCTGGTCGAGGCGCCGGATTGGGGCGCACGCGCGTACCCGCTGCTGCTGTCGGTCCTCGCGGGACTTTCCACGTCAATCGGAGGCGGGATCGCCGTGAGTGTGACTGGCGGTTGGTCGCGCTGCAGTGTCACGACGAAAACCCCCCTGTGCCGCCTTGTTTCGGGAAACCTGGCTGCATCATGGAGATGCGCTGAGTTGTGAGAGTGATCTGCTGTCATGCGCACGGCAATGGCTCCATGACGCGTTTTTGGGACGTCCTCGTGGACCGTCGGAGTCGGTGCAGTCAGCAAGGAGGTGAAGTATTGAAAGGGGTTCAGCAGCGACAGTGGGAAATGGCGACCTGCGTCTTTGCCCTCTGCCGCATGCCCCTGCATGATCGCACAAATGGCGGGAAGAAGGGAGTGCGGAAGAGTCCATGACTGAGACTGACGCACAGTGGTGCTTGCACCGCGCTCGCCGCTCTGAAACTTAAGCGAATGTGCTTTGGCGATGTTGAACATCACCTACGAGTCTTCCTTCCATTTCGACAGGTGCTGCAGAAGCCAGATGATAAGCTGCTATCTCTCCTCCTTGGGCTGGCTATTGGTGTCATGGCATCACTGTCGATAGCGCAGCTGTACCTTGAGAGTGCGATCAGGCTTGGCCTGGTTCCGGTCACAGTTGTGTTTGGGTTTGGAGCCGCCAGTTACTACGCACTGCACAGCTACTTTCCTGTCATCGACAAGCTCTCACTCCAGGCTGATCAGGTGGGTTGATCGTTGAGCTTGAATTTTGTGAGGGCAAGGAGCAAATGATGATGAATTCTTAATTACATGGCGTTCACTAAACCCAACTCCGCTCCCAGCAGCATAAACATGATGTCAAAAGGAGCAAATGATGATGATGATGATGATGATGATGAATTCCTTAATTACATAGCGTTCACTAAAACCCAACTCAAGGAGCAAATGATGCACTTGCATGCTTTTTGCATCGCACGATGGCTGCGCCCTCCGCACATTTTCTTTGGGTTTGCGCGGCATCGACACATGTTTTTGATAATCTGCTAGACAAATGAAAATGCATCCTTGGTGAGATGTCTGTTTCCAAAGTACAAGAAAACCTGAGCTCACTGGCCAGGACACACGCAGGAACATTGCCAAATTGCCAAACAGTGCCTTGTGGGTGAACTGCAGCTTGACAAACTCTTCTTAATTCACAGGATGATGACACTGCACAGATGTTAGAATCTATCGTTATAAATGAAGTGGAATCCAAAGGTAAGATATGCTCAACTGCTGATTTGAATCACCAGCCTATGATATCGATGACATTGGCCGAGGTGGTGCCAGTCACATGAAAATTTGGTGTCATTGACTGCCAAACTGGAATCACATATTTTGTGGTGGACAATCGCAAGTGAATCTGAGCATTATGTTGTTGAAAGGTACCAATGGGCCAGCCCATCTTCGCAGCAACAGCAGTGCCTCCGTTACTGATACTGTAGCAGTGACAACAAATCCAGTGAGCCCTGTGCACACGAGGAGGGGCAGCACGATCGGCACAAGGTTTGTCAAGCAGAGCATTGCAGCAGCTGTCTTGGCGACAGAATCTGTAGCCTAAGTTTGGTTGCAGAATTCTTTTTTGGCTTTCCTGTAGTCCTGATTTTGGTGGTAGGTTTTCTGTTCTAGATGTGACCAAGGAATCACATTGTGGCTCCTCTGCCCACAATCGGATTCACCCCACATAGTGCTGTTCCCATTTGATTGGATTCATGGTCCTGGCAGGCTGAAAACACAGGCTTGCAGGCTGAAGGCAATGCAAATTTTTAGAACAGTGCTGTGAATGCAGCTATTGAGAGCCTGAGACATTGTTTCCTCAGTTGCCCCTCTTTATCACTGCACATTGTGAGCTTTGTCCCTGATGCAAAGTGCTGCATTGGCTCAGGCCGATGAATTTGTCATCCAGTGAGCTATGGCGGCTTGGACTGCTGATGAGCTTCACCATGACGTTGCACAACTTGCCTGAGGGGTTTGCGGTGAGCATTGACAGTGTGATTCCATGCGCTTCACACTGCTTTGGTTTTGTGTTCGATTATCTATTCTCACACGTCAATTTCATAGGCTCTCCATAGGCCCTGTGTAAGTACTGACATGTTTTCAGAATGGTCTGACGTCACATAACATGAAAGGGAAGTGATGTGTCACATTTGGGCACATGTGGGCACATTTGAGCAAGATTTGTAATCAGCAGCAACGGACATGTTTGGGAATGCGAAATGCTCAACAGAATTTGCTGGAATCAGTAATGCTGAAAGACCAGGCCTGCTGTTACAGTGTCTCTTGTCCACTTAGTTGAGCAAGAAGGAAACACATGCACTGATTCAGCCGGAATACTGCCCTGCCATCTGCTTTTTTACTGGACTTTACTGGTGTTAGTTGGCAGAGATGGACAAAAGCATTCAAGTGCCACAGGTTGTAACTCAGTGCCCACCTGCATGTCTCGATGGCCAAATGATTTGTTCTACAAATGAATTGTTCTGGTGTTGACTTTGCGCTGTGTGTGCAGGTTGCATTCACAGCCTTGTCCGATGTGGGACCGATTGTTGCAGCATCAATTGCACTGCACAACATACCAGAAGTAAGTGCCTCCTCATTTTTTGGTGGTGCCCTGAGTGCGAATATTTCAATGCTGAGTGATGGTCAACACAAACAGTGTGTGCAATCCTCCATGTCCTCCATTTGTTGAATTGGGGAAACCTTTGCCTGAGAACATGCAATGCATTGTTGTCAGTTTTGACAGCACAGAGAAGTATCCCTGCGATCACATTGCTTCCTGTCTTCCAGACTACATCCTGGTACTGAATACAGATGTCATCATTCCCCTGTTCCATGCGCGTTCGAGATACAAATCACCTGTGGCAGAAAGCATCTGCTCATGATTTCCAACCTGCGCAAGACAGATAGGAAGGGAAGATCACAGAGACCGCCCCACACCCCCTACCCCACCCCACCTAAACCCACCGATCCCACTCCACCAACTCAAGATGTCAGCTCTCTGTGTAGTACCAGTCCGACCATAAACATGGGCAGCAACATTGGCATGCCTGTACAATACCCATCAAACTTGCGGCCAGAACTGGAATTGACAAGAATTGCACTGGGACCACCAAATCAGGCAGCCAAGGCGTAGAATGCCATTATGTGGCTCCAACGGGATCATTGTTTTACACTCTGATGCAATGCATGGCCCTGCAGTAGATTACAAGGACATTACTCAACACACTACACACTCTACATACTTCTCATTACTTGCTCGGTTCCCCTGCGGGTCAACCTGGCCTTGGCCAGTTGTCACATTGGAAACCACTGCGATCTTTGTGCTGGAGAAGGAGTATGACTAATTTGCTGAAGGAGTCCTTGTGCTTTAGGGCATCATCGTTGCTGCCCCGATTTTCGCTGCAACAGGAAGCAGGTGCAAAGCTTTCGCCATGGCTTTTGCCTCGGTGAGCTCACGATCCACGCTCTACATGGCTCTCCATCGCTTCCTTCTGAATGTCAACTGGCCCCTGAAGATGAACCTTCGATCACTGTTGCATTCCATTCTGCTTGTTTGTGGCTCTTTCTGCGTCATCACTTGCTGTGCTGGAAGGAGCTGCATCCTTTCTTCTGTTGGGATTCGCCATATCATTTGTTCGTTGGAGCATTTCTTGCAAGAGGAGTGTGCCTTATTTCCCACCAGTGTGTTTGTGGTCGTACTGCTCTGCACGGTCTGATGGTCGGGCCTGGATCTTGGCAGGGGATGTCAGAGCCATTTGGGGCTTTCCTAGCTCTCCTGCTGGCTGGGCCAATCCTGACACCTAACAGATTGGATTACATGTTAGCGTACGTTGGCGGAGTTATGGTGAGATTGTGCATTCCTACTCAACAGTGCCACTGTTTGCCTTGCAGAAGTATGTAGTTCTGTGGCCCTCAGCTGTGCAGCTGATGTTAGAGTCAGCTGTCATGGCCAATTCTTCACTTTTACCCTGCTGTTGTGGGGCAATCGTTCGTTGATCAATTGCTTGTGTTCATCTGGCCATTGTGAAGATTTCTTAAGGGAAGGCACTATGTCAGAAGTGGTATGCTTAGCTTCAACTTGATTCTAGGGGGGGGGGGGGGGGACTGCGACGCTAGGAGATTATGTAATTGACACAATTTCGACATAAGGTCTGAAGAACAAAACGCCGTTAATCAAGGCAGATGGCTCGTGACTTGTTCCCACCCCTCAAAGCGCTCAAACCCCTCAAGTGTTCAAACTTTATTGAGTTCCCCAGAACACCCCAATAGACAGCCATTGGGGCTGCCCAATCACCTGAAATGGCTGTTGTCATCCCATTTTCGGTGCATTGCAATCGCTACAATATTGGCTGTTTATGTTCCTTAAAAGCACCTTGAAATTGCCTAACTCTGTTATGTAATGTTGCTGAGTCGTCCTGAGGCATCTACATGAGGATTGACGCTGAGGGTGGGTGGGTCGGCGGGTGAGGGCTTAACGTCGACAGGACGCTAAGCGTACCAAAACCGACATAGCGCCTTCCCTAAGTGTTGTAACTGCAAGGGTGTTTTCCTTCGGGCACTGATTCATCAGTTTGACGAGCGAACCATACTTTCTTGTCTGGTGGCCTAGCAGGCCCAGGGACATTTCTATGTCTAGTTTGCGAAAGCCAGCCGCAGTGTCTGAAGTAATCCTTGCCTTCCAGCTCATAGGCTTGGATATGCTGGTCCGCTGGGCTGATGACAACCCAATGTGTGGTCTGCTTCTCTGTAGATTCACTCGATTCGCACAGGTAGTGCACGTCTGTATGCTGTTTTCTCAATGTGTGATGATATCATACACAGCAATGCCATTTCAACATCTGACAGACGTGATTGGTGAATCTGCCAAATTGACAAGCACTGCAGGTCACTGCGGTGTGTACATTGACTCACTCTTGTATGTGGTGTGTGCAGGTGGCTGTTTGCACGTTTGAGCTGTGGCCAGAGGCTCGTAAGTGTGGCGACGATATCAAAATGTATCAGGGTATTGGCCTGGGGGCAATCGTAATCGGCCTGACTCTGTATGTTGGCACATAATTGGCAAGACAACTGCCCAGTCGAGATTCCCTGCAGGTGGATGCTGCAGCCAGAGGACACAGAATGGCAGGGCCGCTACCAAGGGCATGTGTTTGATATTTCTGTGGTGTATTGGTATCCTTCGTTGCTGTAGATACGTTAAGGTAGAAATGGCTTCATCTTGTTCATTTTGTTGCGATGTTCGCTGTCAGCTTTGAGAGGAATGTGGAGCGGCAATGTTCAGGAAGCACAGGGAATTTTGGCCGTTCGCGTTCTCCCCGTGTTGATACAAAGAGGGTAGACAATAGAAATGCCTTGCCTCGTCGCCCGAGAGATGTTCCACGCAGGGTAGTCTAAGTTGTATCCATGCGTGCGATGCCATGATGCATTGAGGAGGCTGACGTTGGTAGAATGACTGTCCTTGGTGTCTGCATTGTTTTCTCCAAGAAAGTTCAGGCCCAGATTGTGCAGGCAACTTGAGGGGCAGTTGTGGGCCATCCTTTGTGCGCAGCGAGATTCGCAGCTACTGGGTTGCATGCTGCCAGCACAGGCATTGCCGCATTGCTGCCCAACAACCGAGGGATACAAAGGAATCTGCTCTCTCGTTTTCTGGCTTTCTGTGGGTGGCATGCTGGTGTTGATGCCGTGACAAAGGATGGGGAGGCGACATCGAGTGAATCGGATGCGGGGATGAACGCAGTGCGAATTTCGGTCGCGTCTTGTGGGCGATTATACAGCAATTGTTCCGTCCACCTGAAGGCAATGTGAGGGGATCTTAGTGCGAAGTCGTCAGCTACAGACACAGGTGCATGTAGTGGTCTGGAGCGACTTTCGTCTGTGCTCGGAGCAATGAGAGTTCCATGTGGCTGCACAATTGTTTCTGAGTGGAGTGAGGTCTGCAGAGGGTACTGGACCATACGATTGTTATGTAATTTGTTTCCTTCCTCCAGTTCTGTGAATGAGAGTTTGCCAGCGGCACATGTAAATCCAGGCCCTTGAAGTCCTGAAACAAATCAGGGGGCCCATCTGCTGGATGCGGCATGCGCCATGAGTACGTCACTGAGGGCCTGTAGCTTGCATATTGCGTCATGCGCGTGACAGTATACATTTATCGGCATGCATGGGCGCAATGCACCGGGGAAGCTGTTGGATGGGCTCACGTTTCCCGCAGGTGGCTCCCATCCCAGCACCCAGCGCCCACTAAGCCCTTGGGCCCAGGGCTGGATTTCTGGACGTAAAGCCAGCGGAGAAGCTCACCCCAGAGACTGCCCAAAGACCCCTGCCGGCGCACCACGGCCCTGCACACCCCAGGTGTTGCTTTGGCGACGTTGGATCCCCCACGCCCCGTCGCCCCCGGGCAGCAACGAGGGGCGATCTTAACAACCGCACAGGCTTATTATTTACGTTTACAGCCCCATTTTTAAGTTGTGTTTACGCTTTTACGTGTACAACCGCATATACGCAGAAACGGCCATGTTTGCATTTATTTGCAGCGCACTGAGACACACACTTTGCATGATGCAGTCGCAAACAAATGATCAGTCTTCCGCCCCTCGAGCACCTGCAGCACAGCGTCCACCCCGCCGTGGGCTGGGGCAAACATTGCATCGAACACAAGATCGTTTCTGCCCACTCCAGGGCAACAGGTTCCCACTCTCCGGACTCCCTGTTTCTGCGTGTGCTGTCTCCATGTACATGGGACATATACTTAAGCGATTTTGCGCGTTTTGGTGCGTGAAAACGTGAAAACTTGTTTTAGGCGTAAATGCGCGTACATACAACGTGTTACACCGTATAGACCAAGCCTGTGGCCGTATGCGACCGCGCGTACGGTCGTCTCTGACGCGTAAGAGCACCCTCTCGCTGTGTTGGCAGGCAATGATCGCCGTGGGAATGGCGTGACAAAGGCATGGCTGTGAGGCCGCGTTGCATGACAGCGCTGCGGCCATTGTGACGATCCACTGACGACCAGGCACTAGTGGTAAGCCGCGCATGGACATTTGTGGGTACAGTGTGGCATGGATTGCGGGCGGTGGTTGGAGCAGCCACACTGCAGCATGGCGTTGGCTTGGCGCTGAGCCGTATCAGTTCCACAATTACAAAGCAACTTTGAGCAATGAGGCTGTACAGGCCCGCGTGCCAACTGAGTGTATTTGGATGAGGCGTGCTCGTCCCTTGCGCACGACACAGACTGTAGGAGTCCGCAAGTGCGGATCTTTGTTTTAGTGCGTTAGACGCCACTGTTGTGCAAAGAACCTTTGCTCAACAGCTGATTGTCTTGTTGGCACCCAAGGCAGCTCAAGCGAAGAACAAATTGTCTTGGAACCCTGAGAGGGCTTGCTCCTGCAGATGCTGCGCAACGCCCCTCTCTGAGACTTCTCCATTTCACGCAAATCCAACTGACAAAACTCTGTTTGTGGTCAACGACATCGATGCTGGACAGCATGCGCCGCCGTGAACCAGTCGGATCTCTGCGATCGATCGAGAGGGCAACCGATTGGCGTCGTTTCATCCCGGTGAGCTCGGAACCAGCGGCAGGCGATCGCAGAGGATGGAGGGTGGCGATCGGGGTCACTTACGAAAGCGTTGAACGCAGACAGGAAACCCATGACGCAAGAGCTTCTGAGGCGAGCAGCTTGGCAAGCGGTTTGGCAAGCGGCTTGGCAACTGGCATTGAAGGAGGGCGTTAAAAGGTGAACTGTGGCTAAGGCTCTGGCAGAGAAAAGGAGATGCAGGCTCGACTCACAGCATGATAAGCGTTCCATTTCGGCGACGGAGATCATGATTATTAGAGGGAAAGGGAGACGACATCCAGTTGTACTGTGCATGGAAGCTGGAGAGGGCTTGTGAAGAAATCACCGCGAGCAGGCATTGGAGCAGAAATTGAGGCATCAGCCGCAGAATCCGAGCAGATTTTTAAGTTTTGCATGCTTCGGGAGAACGCATATCTGGATGGGTAAGCGGATTCTGAGCGAAAAGGGGGCTGAAGTCAATAGTTGGCGATCCCTGTGTGACATAGCGACATGCTTCATGAAGCCTGAAGCATGATCATGGTCCAAGAACGCGGGGAAGATTTGGTCGAAAGCAGCAGTCCAAACTGCAGCGCCAAAATTTGTGAGATTTGCACTAGTCCTGAGATCCGCGATCGGTGCCCCCGTGTGGATTTTTTGCATGAAAGCAGGGCAACATCCGTCCTGTTTGCCAGCGATCTTCGCGTTTGCCAGTGATCCATCAACGAATCAAGACAATTGCCGTGGGGGCAATCCAGGCTGAGGAGGCTAAACGTCTCAGCGAGGCGTTCGAGCAGTCGAGCGCGGGTTGGAGGAGTTCTTCTTGCCTCACGTCAACTTCCGGCGGCCAGGCACCTCGTCTGCCTCACGGTGGTGGCGTGCCACCCTTTGCACACACACATTTGACCCCGAGTGCGCCAAAATGGTATGACCTGCCACAAGCTCAACCCCTTCTCCGCAAGGAGCGACTGGACGCTGCGTAGTTACGGCCACGCTGGCGGCCGCAAGTCCGACACGTGCCACCCCATCCCCGGCAGCAGGCCCCCCCACGCCTTCAGTGTACGGCATCCCGGGCCCCGCAGAGTTTGGCGCCACCGCCGCGCCCAGGCCACGCTACAGGCCCCCAGCAAACCGCCTGCAGGGCCGAACGCCGCGAGAGCTTCGCGTGGGCCGCGTGCACGGGCCGGAGCCCCGGGGGGGAGGGCGCATCGCGATTGGGGCGGCACCGCGGCAACATCGGACGGGGGGGGGGCGATCGCGGTGAGCGATGCCTGTGAAGCGCGGCCTGTCGCTGGACGAGAAGCGGCAGCGGCTGCTGGAGTGCTTCCATTCGAGCGCGGATGTCTTCGTGGTGGGTGACGCGGGTCGATTGCGGCATCCCCGACCGTTCGCAGGCATCTCGTTGGGTTCTGAGTGGGTGTGTAGATTTCGGATCTGTGGTTGGGGCGGGAGCGCGGGTGGCCGATCGGGGGATGTATTCACGGCTGACGGGGTGGGGTGGGCGTGTACCGGCGTGGGCAGTTCAAGGATGTGGAGAAGATGGCCGTGCAGCAGGGGATCACGCCGCAGAGCGTGAAGGAGGTGGTGCAGAGCCTGGTGGTGAGTCCAACGCGCGTCCCCGGCCTGCGCGGGGCCGCCCGTCCGGCCATGCCCACCCCCCGTGACGGTGATCAGCTTCCTTGTGGCCGAAAAAGCGCACCGCCGCGATGGGCGCGTTCTCTCTGAGCCAGAACTGCAGCGGGTTGGTTGCAACGCTGAATATGACGCAGAGCATTCCGAGTTTGACGGCAGGGTGCCCGAAAACACAGGGGGCGTGGCTGCGGCTGTGTGTTGCTGTAAGATCGTTCGCGTGAGAGCGTGCGCCAGACCGTTGCCGCTTCGATGACATCGGCCAGTTGTTCAGGACGACGACCTGGTTCACCAGGAGAAGATAGGAGCCTCCAACTACTTCTGGGCCTTCCCTTCGGAGGCCACAGTGAAGGTGCGCGGCCCTCAGCTATGACTCCACGCTGCGCGCCTCCTGGAAAGTGAAAGCCCGCCAACACCATCGCCGCCCATTTGCGCGCGCCTTGCAGCATAACATCCACCCACGGCGCCATCTCTTCAATTCTTGCTCCACTTTTCTCGGCGCGGCTGTGGCGCGTTCGATGGGGTTGATGAGTTTTCTTGACGCCCCGCGCTTCCTCCTGGGCGAAGGTGGAGAGCGAGGTGGCAGACCTGACGCAGCGCATCGCCAGCCTCAAGGTGCAGAGGACGGCAGTGGAGGAGGCGATTGAACAGGTGATTGTGCAGCGACACGGCTGGCGATGGGATCTGATTGGCCAGGGCCCGGGCGTTGACAGGCGGTTTCGGCGATGTGATCGGCGACGTCAGCACCGCCGCTAGGGAGTGCGGGGGCGGTGGGCGTTGGAGTCGAACTGCTCGTGGTTTTGCAGCCGGGCACTCGAAGTCCGCCGCTGCGCAGCCGTCGCCCGACCGTCCGACGACTCCTGGTGTCCTGGACGCGCGCGACCTCCGGTGTGCGCGTGGCTGCCGCCCCGAAGGTCCGGGCGCTGAGACAGCTATCCAGGCGACCATTTGCCGCCGTCTGCAGACGTTTCGCCCAAAATGAGCTCCAAAGACATGAATTCTTCATCCTTCACCGTCACGGTGAAGGACAAAGAATGGGTTGGCATGATGCCAACCGACATCACGATAGTGCTTGATCTTATTAAGGTGTGATTTCATTTCATATGGGAGCGCAGTATGAAAACGCTCTGCTTCGAAAAAGATATCCATTCTGAGTACAATAATAACTCAACACGCACATGGCCCTCCTGTGGATTGCTTCTTGATGGCAACAGGCGACGTGGCGGCGCATGGCTCTTCCACACTGTCTCCCATGTCCAAATCAGGCCCACAATTCCTATGTTAGGGAATCAGTAACGCTGCAAGCATGTCAGACACATTAGGAGAAAAAGGGCCAAATAAAACTTGTTCAAATGTGTACACAGTTTGGGGTTTGGGTTATATTCTTATTTTCAGCATGCAGAACATTAATGAAATGCATATATATGTGGTCGCAAAAAGTGTCATTTGCTGCTCTTTTGCCGGTGTTAGGGCAGGCGCGGAAATGCACACTTGCGACCTTGAACTAACTTCACTTTTCTGATTCCTGAAGTGAGTTTCTGCCGAGCCTTGCCCCTGGCATCCTTGCGTTTGCTGCTCTCTTCGGCAGTACCGATCACGAAGCCATCCGCGAGCAACCAAACCGCACTCTGCATTGCCACGCTGCCCGTGCGTTGTTTTGTATCTATTCGGTTCCCAGTCGTCTGCCATACGAGACTCGTCACCAGTAATTGTGCTCCGTTTTGATAGGCCACGTTGCATCAACATCTTCTGTATAATGAATCGGCTATCCGTACAATAAATTGAACACGTCAGATATCGTCCATAAAGACACAAAGCATGAGAATGAGACCAAATTTTGATGTAAATGCACATGAATCTCAACCTTAATATCTCCCTTGTCAAACCTCAGCACATGCGTATCACATAGTATCATTTTGGAGCCATGCTTGGCAGTGCTGCCGGCGTCATCGATTCACACCATGAATTTGCTGACACATTGTCGAACAATCTCTGGGGCCAGGCAATTAACGCGCACACTAACAATCCATCAGGTCACTTTCCAATCTGCCTTCGATGCCTCTGTTGGCAGCTGGGGCCACGATGCACTTATCTCGCTGAGTCCATCTACCAGAACTCCATAAAATCGAAGCTGAACCGGCTGCATGACCTTGTCGAATGGCAGGAAAAGAAGGGCAGGGAGGCATCAGAAGTGCGCACCAGCATGCTGAGCCACATGCAGAACATACAGGAGAACCTGAGGAAACTGGAAAGCGAGCGCCAGAAATACGCTGACAATGACCCCAAGAGGTTCAGCGCGATAAAGGAGGCGAGGGAAGTGGCCAAGGAGGCCGCGAACCGATGGCTGGACAACCTCCATGCCCTGCACAATTGGTGCAGGTCGCAGCTCGAGGGGCGAGAGGATGACGTGGAGGCCTTCTTCAAGGAGAACGGCCTCAGTGAGGACCTCACCTACCTGTGAGAGACGGGTGCCAATAAGTAGGGTTGGGCGATCCTGGAGCGACGCTCCTGAGAGGGCGCGAATTTTGCGCGCGACTTGGGTGATTAGTTTAATCATTCGCCCAGAGCAGGGAGGGTGAGTGCAGGTCACTTTTCAGGAGCGTGGCGTAGAATTCTTTCCCATTTGGTTGCAGAGGAAGACACGGGGATTCAATTATTTGGAACACAACGCGCGTCTGTTTCGAGTTTTTGTCTTTGGAACACAACATGCGGGTTTTCTTTTTTTGGGGGTGTGGGGTGTGTGTGTGTGGGGGGGGGCAGGGCAGGCGGGTGGGCGCTGAGGCTGGCGTCTCCGCAGCCCCAGCCTTGTATGGATTGTCGTGGGAGACTGGGAAGCATCTCCCAGCGCAAGTTCAAGCTGCTTGAGCCCCTGCCGTGGAGCGGCCAGGTGGCATCCCATTGCACGATGTGCAGCTTCGGTGCAACGCACGTGGCATGGACTGGGAACGTGAGTTTGGCAGCGCAGTTGTGGGGTGCCCCGGATGGACCAAGCGTTTCTACGTCGCGAAGCATGGATGGGAACGTTTTCCAGGCACGCTGTGCGGGTCCTCTGTGTTGGACACACGCTGCGCTGACGACCGTCAGGTGATGGCTTTGGTTGGTCGCTAGGCGTCCTCCAGAGAGGCGTCCTGAGCGTTGTAATGGCACAGCCAAACCAAGCGGGAGGCGCCCAGTCCGCCAGGGGCAGGCTCAAAGCTCACCCAGAAGAAGTTTCGCCCGTCACCGTCCGGGATGCAGAGAGAGACGTGCGTTACACGGCAGGGAAGTTGAAAATAGAATAAGGGGGATAGGATATACAAGCCGAGAGCTGTCACGGCGGACTTTATGTGGTTCTGGAATGCCCCTTTCACTCTTCAAAGGGCTGCATCGGCCTCATGGCTCCCTGCAGCGCCCTCCTCCCCCAAATTGCAGACATGGTGCTGAGTGGGAGCCAGAGTACACCGAAGAAGCGCTGCATCATCAGGAGATCTGCACAAAGACGTCCGTACCCACCCGTGTGATCGTTTATGATCTTTTGCGCCAGCGCTGCTCAAACCGCTGGCGGGCTTTGTCCGTACGTTTTTGCAAGCACGTGCCTGGAGTCTCGACTCCAGGCACGCCAGACGACACAGCGGCGACGTGTCTCCCACAAGCCCCAAATGGGGTGCGGCCCCGTGCAGCCTAGCGCCGATAAAGGTTTTGAATACTGCAAAGATTTGTGCTATGAGAGACGGGGTACCATGGCATACGACAACGACAACACCCCGTTCGAGCAGACCATGCCCGATTCTGTTCCACGCTGCGTGGACACTGCGCGACAGCCACCTTTCACAGCCATTGCACCGCAGCACAATGTGGAGCTTTGCATGGCAATTCTCTCATTGCAACTGGCCAGAAAGGACAGACAGTGGCCTTGCAGACCTGGCTGATGTGCGGGTAGCTTCGCATCCGATAGTATCCCTGATAGTATCCATGCATTGATGACTCCCGCTCCATCGTTTTGCAGCATGTGCATGGCATGCTTTGCACAATGTCTCCTCCTTTGCTTGGCTGCGCTAAACTACTGGTGCATGGCCTATGCATGAATATTCTGACAAGAACAGGGGGGACTTCTGCGCCACCCCATGTCACGCTTATGTCCTTTCCCTTCCACCTAGACGATCACCGGCATGTGTTGTGTGTGCGAATGCAGGCATTACTGCCCAAACCCTTCCGCAGCCCCCCTCTCGCTGCACCACACAATCTTCTCTGACGTCACGACTGCGTCCACGTGTACGTCATCCCCGCCCATGGGCACCTCTTCCACCATCTGGCACTGGAACGTAAGGGCAACTGCAACCACCAAGTCACACCAACCGACCAGCACATATTCAGCAGAGACAGTACATGCCAAAATACGGCCCAAACGACGTCAGTTCACCCATGGGCAGGAAAACGGGTACGGCCACATTGAAGATCTGAACAAAGCACTTTCAACCATGGGACAGTAGCGGACAGCACGTGGTTCGAAATTCAATTCGCGGATTCGAAAAAATCCCAAAGTGTGGTAACTAGACTGCCAATCACTGAAATTTAGCACCTTTGGATACTGGTGCGTGGCTGCATCAAAGCTTTAGGTGGTTTTGTCAATGATGAGTGATTCTCGTCGAGAATCCCTCTTGCAGGCCGCCACACGGCAGTGGAAACCAATGCAACGACATACACACTGCGATGCTTGGTGAAGACAGCATGAAGCATCTGAAGATGCGCGCAGAATATTCGTTCCCAGTGCAGTGCTTTCGGCAAGGCGTGCTGTCAGAAAGGCGAGTAATTGGCAGATGCGTAAGAAGCTGAGAGTCTTATACTCTGATTTTTATCGCTTGTGATATCACTTGGTGTCACGTGGGGTACGGCCCTAGCCTTCTCTCTGAGCGTCGGCTGCCCAGATGTTGTGCCACTACTCTTTGGGCAAACACCTGCCAGCTCGCCACACGCAAAAATGGGGAACTGGGGGCGACCGGAGTACGTATGGAAGCGGTGAAAAATTCATTTTCCAAAGGTATGACCCTGCAGCAATCCATTCTGTCAATCGGACATCTTCAACAGCAACTGCGCTTCTGGCTATGAAGTAAGCGTCGTTGGAAGGACTGGATGACAGTCAAGTCAATCACAGAGAATCACAGAATCAAGCCCAGACTGCCGATCAGCCGATTGCTTCGATGCCATGCTCTGCATGCGGCCCCTGCATCCTGCATGGCTGCCACCCTCTGGCACAGCTAACCACTCAGCAAGAATGAGTGCTGAGTGAGCAATACCATCCATCAAGTGACCAAACAATCTTGTCATTGCCTTGATGGTGCGAAGGGTGCGCCGTGCCACACTTGAACAGCTGTAGCGCACACACACCACACACACACACCACACCCTCCCAGCAAAGCTGTGATGCAAAGATGAGAATTTGCCCAGGCAGCCTGCTCCCTGGGTGCATCCAGAGCCGCGAGCCTGCTCACCTAGTAGAGGAGGCGCCCATCCTTTCTCTTTGGCTCTCAATTTGCATCTTGTCACGAACGAATCGTAATAACTACAGATAGCACATGAAAAATTACGATTTGCGCCACAAAGCACAGGAACGCAAGAAGCTTGTGCACCCCACATCGCACATTTGCTACACGTTCATGGAAAAAGCATGCGCCGTCAGATTGCTCGAAATGCGGCACCACATGAATGGGAACACAACATCTTCAGGGGAAAGAAACTGCTGCCGTTATGTGCATCAGCTCTCGAAGCAAGCTGGCACGTTGGGCTACACAATTAAGATGTGCGTCCAAGGAGCAGCCACTTTCTTGTGCTGGGGTGACATCTCCTGATGGCATAGTGGTTCGTTGAGACAAGCAAATTATATGAGCCGTGTGCACCCATATCTAGTCTGCCCTGCCGAATTCATCTGGCAGGTGCGTTGCAGATAACTAGGAGATGATCCACCTCTTTCTTATTTGCTTCTCATTGTTACCAATGAGCAACGTTGCTGGCAATGTGGCCTCGACCGTGCCATTGTTCACAGAATCGTCGGAATCTGGGAGCCGCATTATTGGCACACCAAAATGACTGGTGCCTCATTCGTGGGCATTCTGAAGCTGATGAGCACCTCGCTTGGTGACAATGACGGCCTGCCTATTTCCGCCCATCCATGGCGAGTATCTTTCAGCAAGGCACGAACAGCAGCTAGTTTTTCTCCGCCAGTGGTCGCATACTTTGAGGCAGCTGCCTTGAATCTGTCAAGAACGCCCTTGCCAGTTCCATCGTTTTCAACTGCTGATATCCGGCTGTAGCAATGACCCATCAACACATGATACTGCAATGTCCAAAACAGTTGCTATGTGACGTGAGTAATTGAACTTTGCAGGCAATATCAGCTGCCACATTAGCGTTTTCAGGCATAGCTGAACTGAGTGGAAAACAGGATCCAGCATCAGCGCAGATGCCCTTGGTGGCGGCGATGATGGAGACGCACCCTCCTCCCCTCCCAAGTCGCCCTCCTTGGAGGTCAAATGCCAGGCCAGGCATAAACAGCACGTCCAAGGGGCCTTCAGCCTGCAGGGCTGCACCGTGAGTCAGGTTAACGGCCAGGTCATGCGCGGTCCATCATTCAACAAAATGTCGGCATAGGAAGTTGAGTACAGCTCTTTAAATCACAAATGGCTGATGGCATCGCACAACAGCTCATTCATGGCGCAGAACGCTTCTCAGGACTCATGTGCAACGAAGGTACAAATGCAACATCATGTATGCAAATGGACAAAAACTGCCAGGAGAAGGAGACCAGAGCCGTCCAATAGATGGAATACGATTAATAGCCACCACGACAAGAGGATTGTGATAGAGTTGATGGCGTATAGATGCATTGTTCCAAACCAGGTGCACATCATTTCATTATATCATCTCGCAGCACAAAATGACCAAAGGCAAATGCGGGAATTGCCAAACGTACGACACACTCTGCAACGACTTGGCTTGTGGAATCCTATCCACATCCCAGAGCAGCCCTCAACACACACAGTTCCCACAGACTGCTATGATATCAGTGCCTTGATACGTATGAAGGGCATGCACAGCAGTTCACACATGCATCTCATTCTGGATTCTAGGTTCCAGTTATGGAGTTTCAAGGATGTGGTGAGGCTTTGCCTGTACAGTTGAAGGCCAGTGCTGTGTCAAAGCTTTACACCCACCATTTTCTCGGGGAACTCCGCTCTCTTCACACTCCTGAGGCTCCAAGATTCCAAACGGTGGAGCAGGTTGTAGATCCTCCATGGAAACTTGGCATCAATTCCAAGACCAACAGAAGGGTTAGATTTGCACCTTGAAACAATGCTCCAAACAACACCCTTCCTAAATACACATCATCTTGAGAGCATTTTTTTCAGTAAGCTGGGGCTAGATTATGAGCTAATGATGATTTAAGGAAGCTTGCCTAAATCGAACCATGCTTCAAAATCTCAATTTTTCTTCACAACCACAAGCCAAAAGAGATGGCACTGCCAGCATCAGGTGGACTGCTCCATTGGGGCACAATACACAGATATCTGCCCCAAATGACATCAAATTCCAACAAGCTCAGAGAAGCAAGAGCTGATGCAAGCCATGGGGTGATGGTTCAGGAGATACACAGCACAACATTTACACGTCTGCCCAAAGGACGTTGTGAACATAGTTGCTGATTGGGTTCACATTGGGTGGGATGTGCTCGCCATGGCATCGCTGCACCACAAAGGGGACTGTGTGTGCCCCCTTTCAGCACCACAATGCACTGTTTACAATGCAAATCATTGCATGAGGTGCATACCTATTTTCAAAAAGCTCATGTTCGCCTGGCGGTCTTCAACTCTTGGAACATAACATCTGCGGCCTGATTTGGCATACATGTAAAGGGAGCTCATTAGGTGCTGTGGAGCTCTGCGCATTACGGCTTTTGATAGTGCAATTCCAATGCCACAAATGCCGCTTTGACCACTGTTGTCCATGGAATAGTGCTGCCACATGCACCTGCACATTCTAAAGTTCAGACCATTGACTGACTTCCAGGACAGTCTTTGACTTCGATTGCACCATGATCTGTGGAGCACGTTTCTTTGTGGTTTGTTGTTATTAATTCATCCAGGTTTCACTTCTGTACTTATCAATTTCGCAATTACTGTTTTACAGAACATTGTGCCAACTTGTGGAAGTCGAAGAGGGGCATGCATCAAGCCAGGCACAATCCTCAAAGCCAAAACCAAGATAAGAGGTTGAATGAGCCAAAGTGAAGGCAGGAAATAAAGAACCATCTTCATATAGAGCTGAATTTATATGAAGTTTGTCTCTGCTAAGGTGTCATTGCAAATGGGCAAAGTCACCCATCGCATAACATTGAGTCAGCACACATAAGATAGGTCCAACAGTACTTAGCGTGCGTTTTGGCCAACCAAGAACCTCAAGCAAACCCCAAGTGTTACAGCATTGACAACGAATTTTAAGTAGACGAGTGCCAAACTGCATTTTTTGAGCAAATGAGTGGCAACAAAGGCACTTGTTGGACACAAGGAGGACCCAACCCAACACCTGTGCTCAGGGCTGCCTGCACGATCCCAGTGGTTAAGACTTCGTTCAGCTTCTGGCAATGCACATACATCCCCACGGCGTCCCGGGACTGAAACAGGCCCGCGTTTTCCAGCACCAACTTGCAAATGGCATCACCTGCGTGGCATACGACGTGTGGCCGTTACGGACAAATGCAACCTGATTTTCTGATGTGCACAATTGCCTTTTCCTGGCGATGTGTTCTGGTCGGGACCCACAATCGGAGGTTCGGTGACATGGAGGGTGTCCTAAGGCTGGCGCCACAACACGGGCGACTTAGCCAAAGGAAGGCAGCGCAAACTCTTGGGCATGTTTCAACATCGACATCGAAGTGTGCACCTTTTAATGCCCCGCTCCTTGACAGGCACCCAACTATTAAACACATTGATCGCCCTGCACTGCCTCAGGGACAGCACTGCCCAGCTCTCGGCTGCACATTTCACAGCAGCTGGTTTTCTCACTCGGTCTGTGGGCACTCGCTTTCGCTTTGCTTCTGCTCCGCCGTCATGGCCTTCAGCCTCGCCCTGACGTCCGCCCTCATCGCGGCCTTGCGTTCCTGCAGGTCGGCTGACGTGCTGGTTGCGCGCATCGCGAGCCGCCTGGTGGCCCTTGGGCCCCACTGGAAGAGCGCCCAGCCTGGTCCCAACATCCGCGGGCCCGCGCCTGTGCCTGCGACGTGCAAGTGCTTCATCACCTTTTCATGCATTCACTTATTAATAATATTCCATCAGTTCTAGCTGCAACAGATGTAATGAGCTCAATGCGTGTGATCGCATTTTGCGCGGGTGACAAAACGGGACGATGGCCCGATGACCCGTCGTCGAACTACCGGCCCCCGTGATGAGAGTCCACGGCCCTGCCAGGCCACGTGCACTCGGAGGCTACGAGTTGAAGTGCCCCATGACGTACCCTCCATCATAACATCTCTCCCATGGCAACTTGCCAGAACATGGCAAAGAGCTGCCCTTGCAGCTACTACTGGATACGGTTGTGTGCACACACAACTGTGCGCACGTTAGTGGAACAGAGGAGTTGAGTTCGTTGTTGTAAGTGTTGACTGGTTTTCAAAACGCTACATGACGTTTAAAGTGCCGTCCCCGTCCAAACGGAAGTGAAGTTGGCCTTGACAAGGACGCCTTGAGGCTGTGCCGCTTCAAGCTTTTCGAGGCTCAACAACCCTTCGCACCCTTTTGTGAAGCAGAACCAGCTCGTTCCGCTTCATAACAAGGTGCAAGGGGTTGTTGAGCCTTGAGAAGTTATCGCTGTTTTTCATTGCGTGCTGTATCTACAACTGAATGTCATGCATCTGACCATTGCATCTGCTGCAACCACTGATGTCCGTGTCCATTGATTTGACAATGTTGTGAACGCCCATCAGTGGGCCAACAGCTTCCATGATCAACAAGAAACCCACCCGGGGGTGTCGAGTTGGAGCGTAGTAATAATGCATGTTTATGCTATGCACATACTGAGCACATGTGTGAAAAAGGATGTGCTGCACGAAGGCAACGCCATGGGTGTATCGCCGGTCTCACAAGAAACCAACAGACGCTATTTGGATGCAGCTGCACCCGCTATCGCCTTCAACGGGCTCTAGAACTACATGCTGAAGAAATCTGGGCCCCCGCAAAGACTGGACCAGACAGCGAGGGAAGGCACATGCAGTGCGAACACGCCGAATCAACGCTGCAAAAGGAAGCTGCTCATCAAACCGCTTGTCAAATGCAAACAATCTTGACCCCACAAAATAATTGCTCACCCATCATCTGCACAGGCGATTTGTTCATTCCCATCGAAAGGCAGATCTTTTCTTACAGAAATTAAAGCACTAACCAGCTTTTACTCTCAAGCCTTTTCGCTCTGCATGTAGTACTATTGCCAGTCAGCCGGCTTCTAAAAAGCTCCCACTAGTATAGAAATGGACAATCAAGAACCACGCCGATTGGTTGTGTCCTTGCGAATGGATCCAAATGTCCGTCCATCACATTTCAAAGATCTGACGGATCTAGGTCGTCCTCAAAATAGTCGTCTGCTTCAAATGTTAGGCAACAATTCCAGGAGCTTTTCGGCTGTCTTTGGCGGACTTCAAAATGTGATACAAAACCTCAGTGACTCGTAATGAACTCAATAACCACATCTGCCAGAAATGCTCTCTCTATATAATTTGTCGGTCTACGGTAGAAATTCTGCCGTTTGCCATCAGCGCATATGCGCTAATTTTCGGGAACGTGTTGTCTGCTTCATGTGCAATTGTGCAACTCATGTAATCATAACTCGCAATATCGTACAATATTCTTTCAATTTTTGAGCAGCGGTCAGCAACTGTTCATGCAAATCGCTGGCTGCAAATTAGGGCTGTCTCAGCCAATCAGTCACGTGCCACGCCATGACAGGAGTGACAACTTTGTTATGTAAATTTTAAAATATGTTAACGGTAGTGACAACGATTGTGACACTAAGAGCCCTGGCAGTGCCTCAACTGACGGCGGCTAGGCTACCCCAATCGTATTTCATCTTTTCAAGCATCCCAATTTGAATCTCACCACAATCGTTGCAATGCTGGCTACTTGCCTTCCTTGGAGAGCTTTGTGTCCACCTCAAAGACGTTGTTGAAGATTCTGCGCTCCTACCATTCACCATTCAAAATCTCCAACCTCTCCATGGACATCCAGGCCACTCAAGGGGCTTGTAGACCCAAAACTGTCCAAGTTCTGCTGACATTAACATAGTCGGTGGGTGGCGAGCCATGGGTTTGGCGTCCACCTGAGTCTCTTGAGCATACCAAAACCGACACAGCGACTCCCCTTACATTAAACCGCTTCTGGACCTGCCCGGTTGCTCATTGCTCTTCCCATGGTTCATTGTTGCGTTGTGTCCTGTTGGGCACCTTGGCATGTTCATCATCCCTCACAACACGGAAACGAAACTCACGTCATCATCTTCGTCATAATTTGTTGCACAACAAGGCAATGAGGTAGTCGAGAGAAGAACTTCACGTACCTTGTCCGGGAGAAATCTGTCCATTATCTGAAACATTCTCCCCTTGCTGTAAAAATCGCCGAGCTCCGCAACTTGCAAGGCGGTCTGTCGCCCATTGCGGCCACCCCAATCACGACGAATCACGACGATCATTCTCCCACAGCGACTTGTTTGAACCGGACCTGGGTACCTGTTTGAAGGTTGAGGATCAGAGGGGCGACAGAAATGCCAGGGGGTTGACTGGGAAGGCCTCGGAAGCCATTGTGCGTGTGCCGGCGCAGGCAGGCTAGACTCCGCAGCCTCCGTCCCCAGTGGGAGACAGACCAAGAGCGGTTCGCCTCCCTCGCGGGGCGCTGCTCGTCGCCTCGCGGAGGCGGCCTTCTGACGATCGGGCAGGGCCGAAGGTGCCATGGGTGAGTTGATTCCATCGCCTGCCGATAGCGACAGGCGCCCATGTGGAACGCCGAAGACCGCGGCGCGCGGCCCGACCCGAATCCGGTCTTTGTCTGATGCAGCGACGCCCAGCACGCTGGCAACGAAAGCGGGGGAGGTTTCCCGCCAATCTGACACGACTCTCGAGATGGCGCCATTTTCCGAGAGCTGTTCCGCGCAACATCTGCCGGGCGGGTCCCTTTGGGAATCTTGGGGCGCGAGTGAACAGTTGCGGGCATCGAAGGCTTTTTCGCCGGCTGCTTGCGCCGCGTGCAGTTTGTCGTGCAGACTGCTGGCTGTGCTCCATAGCCCACCGGTTTTCATGCACTGGCCTAGAACACAGTCGCGGCGCGTTGCCCTCCTTCCGCGTGAATCCTGTGCAGCGGGGAGTATGGCTTTGGCCCCACCCAGAATTCGCGGCAGCATCGTCCACCTCTCCGAGAAGCGACGGCCTTTTTTTGCCTTTCCCATCATGTGGGTTTTCGTTGTGTGAGCGAAAGCCTGGCACTGGCCATGGGCAGGCGCCTTGACCATTTGATGCAGCCTGGTTGGGATGGCGATTTAGGCTCGTTTGTTTGGTTGGGACTTTGATTTTCGATTCAGGATAAAGGTTCCAGGCTTTGAACGCGATCTCACTCATTTGCTTTTGATGATACCATCTCATCCTGTCATGGCTGCTTCATTCAAGCACTACTGTCAGTTGCCCAACTCTTTCTGAAACTAGCTTATCCGTGACAGGTGGTCCTAAGGCATCGAAATGCGGCACATCGAGGGCGAGACCACTTACCCGTACCAGGGGCAGACCCCACAAGAGTGTCATGCCAACTCTTTCTGAAACGAGCACATCTGTGGCAGAAGGTGGTCCTGAGGCATCGAAACGTGGCCCATCGACAACGAGACCACTAACGCGTGCCACGGGCAGACCCACCAAGAGAGTCAAGGTTCGCAAATCAGATTTTGATTTGGAGCAGCCTGAAGCCGATGACAGGGACCTAACGACCCCTGAAAGCCACATTCTGGTAAGCTGTCAGCACTGTCCTTTTGACCATTATGCTACTGATGCTTTGGCAGTGCAAACGATTGCAAGTTCGGCCATAGCTGCACCTTGCGTTGGGTCCACCTTTCTGCAACTCTTCAAAAGTCAATACAAAAGGGAGTGAGTCTGCCCACTACGGCTTCAATGCGGATGCATGGCTGCATGGCAGTTTTTGTGCCGCAGTTCAAAATGCTGAATGCACTGAAGTGAGAGTCTTTGGAACATTCACAAAGTCGACGACCAGAAATAACAGCACCAGCAATGTTCTCAACTCTAGCTATTGTCCCAATCGCCTTTTAGTCTATATGACAATGTGCTGCTGTGGCAGTGCAGAAGTGACAACAGGCGTTATTTTAACATTTGGCTCCATATTGCTGGATGATCTCCAATTACTCAGAACCTTACCAGTTATGAATTAACAAGAATCGTTCCCCAAGTTTTGCTGCACACCAGTTGCTCACCTCCATTTTGCCCTGAAGTCTGCTGGGCACATTGCTTCCACCAGTGTGTGTCCAACATTGTTTGCCAATCTCGACAGTTTGTTGGGCTGCTCCCCTTGTGCAGGGAACAACGACAGTGGACTTGCACTTTGCTCAACTCTACAGTGACGAAGTGGAACAAGTGCCAACAAACTGGACAGTTGGTAGGCTCAAAGAGAGGATGCTGTCCAAGCTGCAGGTGAGGATGCGCACAGTTTTGCTGAAGAATTCTGAACCCTTAGAGCTCAAGACCAATGTAAATGGTAGACATTGCTGTCATCACCCCTCGCGCTAAGAACATTGAGGTTTGACTCCAAAGTGTGTTGCCGTTCGCCAGCCCTATATCAGGCTCCTGATGGAGCCGATCGTAAGTACGATGCACTATCGCTGGCAGTAATTGCAGAATCATGTACAACTGTGATTGGTGAACGCTGTCGGTTGGGCTGGTTTGAGTGCAAAAAACTGCCACATACATATGTTGGAAGGTTAGCAAGTGCAGGAATATTGCGAATTTGAACAGTTGACTGGACACTTTATAAAATTGTGGTAAGTGTGCGAAAATCCTTGGACTGCAGTTCTTACGAAATGCCACTACAAACAAACCCCATTACAAACAAACCCCTTTCACCTTGCAGGCAGTATTGGACAAAGGCACTCACAGACAGTGCTTGTGCCATGCCCAAGACCGTAATGCTGCACAAGCCATTTGCACAATCCCCCGCACTGTGCCTTGTTTCTGACGATTGCAATCAAATAGATGGCCCTTCTACTGGTCCTGCTCTCTGTGCTAAGATCTCTTTGTCTTGCAAAGGCAAAGTACTAAATGAAGATTTACGCATTGCTGATAGTGGACTTTGGGACTCACAGCCACTGCATTTGGGACATTCTTAGTGTGGTGTGTGTGTGGGTGGGTGGGGTCCTGTCCTAGCAACGTCTTGCAAGTGCAGGGGCAATTTCTCAGTGAATGTAGTCGATATTAGTCTTCTGTTGTATTAATGAATGTAATCTGGTTCAATCGGTCATGCAATTACACTCACATTGCTGCTTTTGGCATGTGGGCAGGGCAGGACAGCGGAGCCCAGTGTGCGCCTGCTGAAGAGGGGTTTATATCCCATGGATCGTCCCCTCGAAGATGACAAGACGCTGAAGGAACAGGGTGTGAGGGGCGTCTGCACTGTTGCACTGGCTTGGCCATGCTCCTTCCCGAAGGCTGCGGAGAGTGGTGATGGGGAAGGATTGGAGCAAAGGGAAGCAGTTGCACAGAACGATGATGGGGAAGGATCGGAGCAAGGGGAGGCATCTGCACAGGATGGTGCTGGGGAGGGCTCAGAGCAGGAAGCGGCAGAGGATGCAGTTAATGAGGACGATGTGCGGGAGGGCATGCAGTACAAACCTCAAATAGTGACGCCCACACTGACGGTGAGCCATCATTGACTGTCTTTAGGGTCATCGCCTCTCCAGTGATTTCAGCCCTGTCTGTTTAGTCAGAAATTTCAAAATCGATTGTTCAAGGCCATTCCAGACTCGACAGCGCGTTTGGAGCCAACTGAAGGTGCTCACGCCATTTGATTAGCAAGACACTGTGAGAACAAGAGCGTGTGGGTGTGAACGACGCTTGACATCGCCTATTGATGTGGGTGAAATGATGCTTTCGTACTGTTGCAATATTATATTAATAATATTGTCACATTGTCATACAATACGATATTTGTGCAAGTGTGGGGCTTTGTACATGGTTGGACAAGTGCTATGAATATCGATTGCTGCTGCAGCATCCAGTGATTAATCTCAATGGACTGCATGAGCTTTGGAACAGAGAAAATGATTTGAGCTGGTTGTTTTGTCAGTGACGCAATGCAAGATATTGTCCATGTGCACTTGAGTGCACATATCTGCACATATCTGTACATATATGTGCTTGTCTGCACCAGCAGTGTGTTGAAAGGCGTCCTGTCACTGCCATGTCGATTCACTATTCAATGAGAACGACGAGAGCAACACCAATTCTTTGCAAACTGGAATGTCAATGGAAGGTGTTTTGTTGTATGAAAGTATTATGAGGTGTACTTGGCTGCAGACAATGGGCAAGAGCAGAAATAACATTTCTCATGCTGTGATTGACTTTGGGGGGATCTAGCATCACCTTGCAGTGTCCTGTTTGGTGGAAGGGCCCTCTCTATTGTGTCGACGTGGTGCCACTTGATCGGTAAATTGCTATGCATATGTAGCAAACAGCAGGAACAGCTATCATTGCCACTGCATCTGCAATGGTAACAGGTAGACAGATGCGAAAATAAGAGATTCCACAACATCCGCCTCAAGTTACATGTCTTCAGCCCTACCAGTTGCAACTGCCCCCACAGAGTGCAGTTTTATACCCTGCATCGTTGAACGAGTCCACACACTCCACACAGGGTGCCCCTGTTGGCTGTCCAGATGCATTGGTCAAGAGGCTGCAAGATAGTGAGAGCAACATTGTCATCTTGAAAAGGTGCTTGGAAGAAGCTTGGACAGAAATGGAAGCAGCCAACGAAAAACTTGGGCCATCAACAGACAGCCCTCCTTTCCAACGCTCCTTTCAGGAAGCATATTCACCTCGGCGTGCCATTTTATACCGTATGCCATTTTATCCCCCTTTTTAATCCTGTTTCCTGATCTTGTCTCGTGTTGGAAGTTGTAATTCCACCTCTCACATGCAAACCAAAACAGTGCCAAAACTCAACAGACATTGACGCCTGCAGCCCTATCCATCCAGGTCGGGGTACGAACAAAGTGGACGGATGATGAAGTGTGGGCCTTGGCCAATGGCGTGGAGAAGCATGGGTTCGGGAAGTGGAACCGCATCCTGAACGACAACCCTGTATTGAGGACACGTACGTACATCCAGCTGAAAGACAAGTGGAGGAACATATCGAAGGTGATGGCGGGGAAGGTGGCAGCACGCTCGCAGCAGTGGAGCCCATCGCTTAGTCAGAAGCTGCACAAACTGTGCGAATAGGGGAAGCAAAGCACATAGCATGTATGGCAGTGAGGGCAGTTGCCTTTGCACTGGACTACTGGCAAACTTAGCTGCGAGGGTGTTGACTCAGCATGGCTGGGCATGCACAGGGGTGGACGCTGTATTGACTTCACATCCTGTGAATCACAGGCGTCCTTGTGACAATTTGCGCTTCAACTTTACAGCACAGTGTCCACCACCATGTCATCTCGTCAATTCAGGAAGCAGCCCCTGTTGCTGTGTGGCGATGCAGCACAGCCTCCAGGAGCTCTGGCCCACACTGGTATTGTCTCCTCCCAGGTCCTTGACAACGTGAACAATACCTTATGAATTGGCACTTATGCAGGTTGTCGATTCACCTGTGTTAGTCAAGCAAAGACCTGCATGGTGCAAGATTCAACGACTGCAATTCTGGCTAAAACTGTTCCTAGTACTCAACTTGTCTTCCATCTTTGTTTCTTTGCCTGCTGCTATCACAGGGCATCAGGTTCTTACTGCACTCATATTCAGACAACCTCGCGACCCAAAGAACGCAGCGATGCGTCGGCTGTGGTAATTTTCGATACATACCTCACAATGGAAGCCTTTCACTTGCCGATTGAGGAGTGGCAGCCAATCGATCCTTTGAAGCACCTCCCGGGATCGGATGCAATTCAGCATCTGGGTGCTCCGAGTGGCCTAGACTCTCAAGCTGGCTAGTAGCAGTACTTACAACTAAATGCATGAAGTCTCACGAGACAAGAGGGTATTAGCGAGTGGCCCCCTGTACTGCAGTCGAAAAAAAATACAATAGAACATAGATTATATGCTGGTTATCTGTGGCCAAGTAAAGCAGGCGAAAGACAGACATAATACTGAACCGGCGATCTAATCGGGGAGATGTCCCACCGCTCTACCTAATCACCCGGCCATGGCCAAGGATGAGGCCAGTCCCACCCCTTGAGTACCATTCCACTCAACTTGCTGTGGGGATGTTTTGCCAATTAATGTGAAGTTGCAGACCGCTAGCAAAGGGACGCTGATTGGCCATCTGAGTTCATCAGGAGCACGCGTCAGTAACCAGTTTGTGGAAGAATTTTCGCGTTGCCTGTAAGGATGTCCACTTATTCATTCATTCCTCCCAGCGCATCATCATCATCATCATCATCATCATTTTTACCAAGGACAATGAGGTAACCGTCAGCTTCCGCAACACTTCACACAGAGCGCTGTCCTGGAATTTCGCCGGACGTCCCCTCCATCGGCCCCCATCAATCTCCCCCCCCCCCCCCAATCACGTTATCTCCCCCCCCTCCCCCATCCATCCCCTGTCAACGAAGGTGCCGTGCGCAGCTCCCCATCTCGCAAGCCCTCACGGCGAAGAGGCAGCCCACCTCTGCCGAAAGAAAACAAGCCGCGGCCAGCGGCGCGCCCGGCCCTCTCCTCAAAACCCCGCTCCTCCGCCAACAGCCGATCCCGCGATCATCCCTCCAACTTGATTCCCAGTCGCCAGCCGGGGGCGCGGGGGCCGGCCGAGGGGCCTGTGGGCCGCCTCGGGGGCGCGGGCCGGCGCGCCATGGCGGGCAGAGGCGGGTCAGCCGTGATGCTCAACGTCTACGACCTGTCGGACCAGAACTACGTGCTGTACTGGATGGGCTTTGGCGTGTTCCACACGGGCGTGCAGGTGCACGGGGTGGAGTACGCCTACGGCGGTGAGTTGGCTGGGGAGGGCCTTGGGGGGTGCCATCTCCTGCCTGCCCCGCGTTTCAGCGGGAACTGATTGTCAAGGGGGAAGGGGGGGGGGGGGATTTGCTGGGGGAACACCCCAGGCTGGTGGGCGTTGTGTCGGAGTCGGTGCTCGGCCGGTGCTGGGCCCCGGCCACGCCCTTGACAACCTCTTAGTTCATTGGCGCCAGGCCACGACTACGACGCCTCGGGCATCTTCGCCACGGAGCCGCGCAAGCCGCCCGGTCCAGGTGAGCGGTCGGGGGTGCGCGCGGACCTCGGGGCGAAGCCTGGGCCCTGGGGCCATGGACGGGATGTGGTGGGGCGGGGGAGATGGCAAGCTGGGAGGGCTCTGGGGATACGGTGTGTAGAGCCATTTTGTGGCATTCGCCGTCGCGGGGGGCAGAACATCTTTCTTGCGCCTTGGCTTGTGATCTGGGGGGCGTGCTGCGTACAGAGCGGTTCGTTTGTCACCCGACTTCCAGCGGGATATCAACCCCCAGTTTTGGGTCCGGTGGGGTGTTCCAGCGTGCTTGAAAAGCTGCAGCTGTCTGATGATATGAGTGCGGCAGAGACGCGCACCATCGCCAGTGTGTCGTTTTGCCCATTGCTGTAATGGATGGATTCGTTCATGCCCTGCTTGGGTGAAGTGCGCATGGCAGCAGAAGCAGACTGGGTGCCTTGTGTGTGCGCGTGTTGTACAGTCGAATTCAGGCAGTCGATACCAATGGGGGAGACGAGGCTGGGGCCGGACGAGGTCCGGCGTGTGGTGTCCAGGATGGGCCAGCGCTTCAGGGGTAACCACTACCATCTGCTGCAGATGAACTGCAATCACTTCGCCAGCGACCTGTGCAAGGAGCTCGTGGGAAGGAAGGCACCATCGTGGGTAGGTGTTGTTGCTGTTGATCCAATTATAGGAAGATTCACACTATATCATCCTGGGCCCTTGAATCTTCAAGTGTGCCCACACACAAAATTGCCCTTCTTGTGGGCAAGTCTGGCACCCCGCCAGTCTTTGGGGCATGTCTGGCAAGAGCACACCTCTTGTGTCCAAATTGGTCACAGGTAAGCAAAGCAAATCTTTGCTGAGATTCTCCAATTGTGTTCAAGCCCCTCCACTTTGATTCTTTTGAATCTGTGCTGGACCTTTGATGCACTGCCACACATTCAGAGCCTTGACACTCTTTGTCCCACAGTTGCACAAGACTGCAGCCCTGTCACCCTGTTGTTGATTGCCGCAGTGAAGTCACTTTTGCAAGTTCTTTATCTGTCACCCTTTCCTGCACCAAGGAAACTGGTGTGCTGGAAGATGGAGGCAAGCAAAATGTTGCACAGCAGCCGGTCCGATGTGGATAGTGATTGTTGTGCAGTCTTGTGGTGACAGATATCCCATAGACAATGTGCATATCTTCATTCCCTGCTTCTGAGATACGCGCACTTGCATTGTGCCTGCTGCATCCTTGAGACTTTGACTGCTGGTTTGGTAGGTCAACAGGCTTGCGGGACTGGCAGTTGTGTGCCATTGCCTGCTCCCTGGGACATGGGTGCCTCCTCTGAGCACTCCCTCCAAAATGCCTGAAGAGGAAGAAATCAGACAAGGTGCGTTTTCAATACTGCAAAGCATGTAGTGGCAGTGGGAAAGAATGGAAGTGCAGTTGCCGATGTACATGGTGCCAGGCTCTGTCCAATCCTTGTGCCTCTTTGTTGCATTGTGCAATTTTGTCCCAAGCAATTTCAATTGTATTGGTTTTTATTGCAGCATACAGAATGTTATGGAAGCACAGCACCCAATTCTGTCCAACCAGAACTAGTTGCTAAATGCGATCGACTCTTTGCCCTTGGCAAGAAGGACTATTCTTTTGTATGGCCTTTCTGTTGCTGAGCAAAGAATGGCAGCGATTATATCTATGGGAGGCAGAAGTTCCCGTGCAGGCGTTTTCTGTTTCAATTCTGCCTGTGGACTCTGGCTACTAAGAAGGCCTTGTTACGTATGTTCCTTCAGTCGTTAAACGCTTCGCATTGCATTGGTAACTCTTGTGGGCGATGGAATGTTATTGTTCAATTGATGATGTTTGGCCCGACATTTTCCTTACGGTGATTGGGGAAGTCAGTCGTGGCCGTTGAGGTCGACCAATTTTTCTGATCAGCAGAAGCCTGTCCTAGTGTTTTGCTTGTGCGCAGTTGCACATTGGGAAATTGTAGCACAACAGGAGGGCTGGAATTGTAGGGAGGGAGCACATTGTGCCATGTGGAGGGCTTTTCTGATGCAAGTGGAACAACAGAGATTGTTGGCACAATTGGGGCATCCCACCCAAGTTCCTGTGCGGAATCCAATTTATCAATTTGACACTTTCCATGTGTATCGATGAAAGAGCAAGTCCGCGGACGTGAGAAGTGGCCCAGCATGTCCTGAGGAGAGGTAAAAGTGGCTGTGCAGCATGCACAGTCCTGGAAAGTTTCCACACCTCTGCCTCGTTAACTGCTGGTGCCTGACCTGCGCTGCTGTGCCCCACAGGCAATGGCCTCAGGAGCAAGAACTCTGCGCAGCGACTGCTGTCTGACAACAGGGTGATGTCCGACGCGTACCCAGTGGGAGACAGCGGCAGCTTGTGCGACAGCAACCTCGACATTGAGATCGATAGCGACAGGGAGCAAGGTGGGGCTGGCCGGGACCAGGGCACACCTGCTGCTCTGCATTTTGCAGAAAAGTGAAACCACGGGGTGAGATTCTTGGTCAACAGAAAGAGACAAGTTGTTGTGTGGGCATGTGCACAAGAACTGTGGTGGCGGCAGGGCGCAGACTCTTTGTCAAGACGGGAGAATAAACTGTGCGATGCACACGTCCCAATCAGGAATTATGTGAGGCCGCAGGGCGAAGATTCTAGCCAGCAGAAAGGGTAGCAACGGACGCCTGATGAGGAATTCTGTGAGGCCATGAGGCAGAAGCTCTTTGCCAACAAGAGAACAAACAGTACAATGGACATCTCCTGATCAGGAATTATGTGAGGCCATGGTGTGTCACCACGGGTGGTTTGGTTGTTGGTAGCTTGGGGCGGGGCAGGTGAACAAAAGCGACGCACTCGGCGGGTTCACTGTCAAGCTGGAGCAAGGCGGGCTTGGCAGAAGGGAGCCGCGCGGAGTGTGGAGGGTGGAGTTGTTGCAGAGAGTTGAGTGATGCCCCGAGTCGGTGTGGTCAGTGTGCCTTGCACTCCACGTGCACGGCGAAATTTTATGCAAGTGTGCGCTGAGGGAACCATACGAGCCGGGAGCTTTGGATTGGCATATCGGCATTCGGCCGCTGTTGCCCTTGAAGTCCTACGGTGCAAAGCATCGTCATTTTTAAGTTTGGCTTCCAATTCAACCGCTGTGGCGACGCCTTGCAGCGAAGGGGATGAGAGATCTGCAATGCAATGCTGTGGGATTCAATGCATGATTTGGCCAAGCGACAAGGCATTAGTTCCATCCCCTTGGGTTCTTGTCAGGATTGCCGTCTCCTGAGTGCCCGCCGTCTTCCAATGGTCGACATTCGCACACATAGCTTGAAGGGCTCATCGCCAGCCCTTTACGCCGTCCGGGAGCGCCATTTATTTCATCCAGTGAGAATCCAAACCACGCGAACGTCCAATACGCTTCACATCTGGACATGAAGGCATGAAGGGTCATGCGGGTCCCGGAGGTCATTTTCGGGTCTGGGGTGGTTTGGGTGTTTAGCGCTTCCAAGATTTCAGGGCCGTTGTACCCTTCATGACCTTCATGAACCCTTCACGATCTCCATTTCCGGAAATGATAGGTATTGGACAACCCATCGAAATCACATGCGCTTCTAGTCTTCGCTTCTAGTCTAGTGAGAATCGAAACTACATGGCTCGCTCCACTGTCCGGAAGTCGAAAACTGTGCCCATTCACCCAAAATACATGTGTTTCCAGTGCAACGGATGGTAACCATCACGGCCATGATTTCTCTTGCCAGGGCACCAGCCGAAACAAAAGAGCCAAGCTCCGCAAGGTGCGTGTGACAACCAAAGTTGGTTCCAGCATGCGCTGTGTCCAGTTTATTCCAGCGCCACTCGTTTTTCTGGCCATATATGTCCTCACCTTCCATTTTATTGCAGTGCCAATTTGCTAAGACACCAGCAGCCCGCCCTGAGCACGGGGAACCAGATGCTGCGCCAGCTGAAATGCTTTGGGGCCGTCATGCCCCCCCCGCTCCAATGCCGCGGATCTCCACCTCGTCTTGGCGAAAGCGAGAAACGCCAACCAAGCTGCAACGAAATGATTCGCTGCAACCACGCACAGCCTTCCCTTACATCGGCATCGCCCAAAGGGCGAAAGGGCACGTCTGCCTCATGTTTTGGATAATGCAGCGATTTAGGAACCGCTGCACAGTACCAAGTGCGGAGTGCGGATAAACTGTAATTGCAGGCGACGCCGTCGCTTCTCACAAGGCCCTGCAAGAGTTGAGCAGCACTGGGGAGGAGGCCGCTAGGTTGGCTCGGAGTGCTCTGTTACCACATGAACCTGGCTGTGCTCCCATCCGGCCAATAGAATGGACGGTACAAAAACATGTAAAGTGTGGCAGCATCCACGGCGATGAAGAGGGACGCCAGGGCGAAAATGCTGCCGCGACTCGGGCTGGGCATATGCAGGGCTGCCAGAATGAAGGGCACCACAAAGTACCTGGACAACACACAGCCCCACACTCGAATTCTGCCATTCATTCTTGCTGACACAGTGTAGCTGGGACAGTCTGGGATACTATAGTCAGATAATGAAGGTGGCTCTCTGGTTGCCCAGAATAGCCTCATCGCTTCAAGGGATGGAGTACGTTGAACACCACGTATGCAACAGCTTCACTGTACATTGGGAGTGTGCATCATGAAATAATCATGTGCAGGGCCGCAGGAGATGTACAGGCCCGCGCCAGTCAATGGCACAATGGCTGCGTGGTCTATCTCACAGCGACCACTATTGTGAGGAGCTGACACGAAGCTCTCGCTTTTCACAGAAGCCTTTCTCGTAATGAAATGACTCAGCACACTGCCCCAGTAGGAGCATTCTAGCTGGGATGGACAGGCAAGACCGGGGGGTATGCGATCCCTGGCACAATGACGGCTGGAGCTCACTGGTACAGGGCATAATCTTACCTGATGGACATGCCATGCACCTCAGCTCGAGACGAATCTGCCAGGTGGTGCAACAGCAGGCCATCGGGCAACTCGCTAGAATGCGGATGAGGGCATGGGAGGGTCCCCATTCTGTGTTTCTCATGCATGCGGCCTCAAAGCATAACGTAATGGCAAGGAGGGAGAATGAACATATCTATTTCCGTTAGAATGATGATATGAAAACAAACCAAGTTCATGCAAATGTTGTTACTTGTCCCTTTGCAGTGCTGGTGCCCTGTGGCTTCAAATGCTGTCATGTTCTGTGCACAGAACCATGAACTTTCCTTATATATTGTATAATAGATGTCATACGTGCAAGGAAAGGGACATGGGAGAAAGGCACAAAGTTGAAGAGAGACATGTTTGCCCACCTAAATTCCAGCAGCCCTGCAGGTACCAGTGTTGCGGCTGTGCATCCCAAGTACCCAACCACCCACAGGGGTGAACACCGCTCCAGCAGGCTTTCCAGCAGCAACAGCATGCCAAGACCACAGACCGGCACAAGTGCCATCCGCACATGCACATACTGCAGCACCCGCCTCCACAGGTAGAAGGTGTAATGCCGATTGTCTGCCAGCAAGTACGGATGGGCGAATGTCCCTCGCACAAGGGTTGTGCACACCACAGACAGCACCACACCAAGCGCAAGCCGACACATCATAGTGCTGGAGACGAGCCTCCGTAGGCCGCCGTGCAACTTTCTCCAGTCCAGCAGCGCCGGGGACAGTCCGCCCACTGCAAACAGGAAGAAGTATCCCAACTGCGCCAAGTGGAGCACAGGCTTGTGGGCGTCCCGGTCGCCCACCACGATGCCTCCATTGATCACAACGAAAAGGACAAAACAGCTGGGCACAAGCAGCAGAGGGAAGAACACCTGGAGCAGCATCCATTTCTGCCGGCAGGCGTGCTTGGCAAGCTCTACCAGTGGGGCCAGTCCCAGTTCACCCTGTCCGCATCTCAGGCGATCCAGGATGCCCACATACAGTATGAACGAGACCCACACAACATTCGTTTGCCTGACAGCTACCGCACTGGCGCCCGCCAGCCCAGCGAGCCAGTGCCTGCTGTGGAGGGTGGCCAACAGGCAGGCAAGGATGAAGGTGAGTGAGGGAACGTCAGTGTAGTAGAGAAAACCGTAGAAGAAGTGGAGCGGGAAAAATGTGAGGCACATCGAGAGCAGGAAAGAGTGGTGTTCATCCTTTTGGGCCCCTTTGTGGTTATGTGTTTGCACCTTGGCATGGATAAGGTAAAGAAGGCGAGCATTGGCAATGAGCAGTGCCGAGTTCATTGCCCTGAGAAGGGTGGTACTGCATGGGCCTTCCTGCAGGCATGGCCACCAGCCAACTATGAACAGCAACAACAGCAAGAAAGTGAGCAGGTGCTGGTGCATTGATTAGCAACAGGCATTAGGCATCGTCCTCTTGGACGGAGTGCTCAGACTGTGTGCAAACTGTTTAGGCAATGTGGAAGTCTCAAAGAGTGAATGCATAGATGGGAAGAGAACAGGGAAATTGTAGCCAGCAGGGGGCATGTGTGTGTGGGTGTGAGAAAACAGATTTTCATGAACTGTGGCACCAAGGGTCTGCCATGCAGGATATCACGATTGTGCACACCTCAGCAACTGGGTAAGTGAAGAAGGCCATGGATGCAACTTCTAGTGCACAGGACACATGATGCACACAGCAGCAGGATTATTGATGCAACACTGGTATCATGTTCGATCAACATTCATTGCAATCATCAATCCTTGACAAACTGTGACAGCAATTCAAGCACGACTGCCAAAATTGCAGATAGTAGGCTGCAGTTGCTGATCAACCTCACTACAACATCCTTGACATTGGCACACTGCAGGGTGGCAATCAAGCTATTTTACATATTCTTGTAGCTACAACAGCAAATGGCCGCTGCAGATGAATAAACTAGTGTGCCATTCAAATATTGCTCAATTCCCATGAATGTGATCACAGCTTTGCAAGATGGGCTTTGCAAGGTCCAGGAATATAAAGCTGCTTGCAGATGCACAAATGGGACGGCACAGATCACTGTACGCAGCATTGATCATCACATGACTGCCCAAATGAATATTGGTCACGTTTACAAACTCAAGCAGTTGGACATTAAAAAAGACTCTGCTTTGCGGCTTCTGGTTTCTGACAAGCGACGACAGTGCACAACTGCACACAGGCCACTCACCTCTGAAAGAATACCCAATGACCCCAGAAAATAGCCCAAGGAACTGCCCCAGGCTGCCCCAAGGAGGTGAAAGCCTGGAAGGGTGGTGATCTTGGGATCCCAGGCCCAAAACTCCCCAGCACAGTAGCGCTGTGTTTGAGGAATGTGGAAGATCTCATCCTGTGGAATGGAGCTCTGGTGGTTACACAGGCTGCATCTTGCAGATCACAGTCCTGCACTATGTGTGGCAACGACAGGGGGGATTTTCCCACCACACTATCTGTTTGTATCTGGGTTTTTCTCCATCCTGCACAATGCCATCTATTGAAAGGGGGTGAAGATCGAAGACTGAGCCAATCGTTTGGGCATTCTGCACCAGGTGGCTGGAGACATTGCTCCCTCCCTGGGCCGTGCTACCAACACAAAACTTGTTTGCAGGTGTCCAGCTTGTACTGTCCCAAGCTCCTGCTTGTGCAAATATGGCTCAACCTGCCACGTGTAGTTGTACATTGATAAGGACAGGAGAAGGCACCTGATCTCCTAACTGTGATGTGACATTCTTGGAAGCAGACAAGGTGGTGGTTCCATCACTCAACCATCATTTAGGTGCCCCATTATCAGGCACCACACCTAGTATTTCGAACCTCTATACACTCCATTGGGCACATGTAGATTCAGGCTGATGGGACACAAGCAGGGGGGGGGTAAGTTTCGCTGGTTGCACTTTCTATGAACATTGCAGTAGCAACTACAAGGCGATACAGCAAGCGAGAGGCAGGCATCCCAAGTGCTACGGCGCAAAACGTGATGTTCAGACGACAAGGATCATTACCATCACTGAAACGTCGCAGCCAAAACAGGTAAAATTGCGCACGCTGCATTTTACTACCCTTGTCACCAGCCCAATGGTAGTGCTCCAAATTGGGGCGCGTGGCGTTCGGGAGGGCCAGCTATACAACTGGCAACCGCGCCATCAGCAAAGTGGAGGGGCTTTGTTTGGAATACCACGCACCATGTACCCCTCCCTCACGGTGCCCGATACCAGGTGCCCAATCGCAGCCACCAGGACTGGACCCGCAACAGAGAAGATCCGCCACGCCTCCACCATTGCTGTGTGTCTCCGCGATGGATACGCCAGGCGGGAATGGACACAGGATGGCGGCCGTTGCTTCCACCACGCAGCGTTCGCACGGGAGCACGGACACAATAGCACGGCGGTGCGCTTTCAGCCTTCTGCGAGGAAGGGAAGCAAGGCGACAGCTCAATCAAGTTTTATTGTCTGCTTGCTACAAGTCTTCCACAGCGGTCATGGTGTAGTGGTATCATAATCGCCTCCCACGCGATTGACCCGGGTTCGATTCCCGGTGGCCGCACTGTGTTTACCCACATCATTTTGCTCTCATGTTTCTTGTCCTTCCCGGGCTTTTCGAAAGTGCGTCGGGCACCCTCAAAAACTGAACACAACACGTTCTGTCAATGGCACAACATTCGTGAGGGCCTCACTGCATCGGCATCCACTGGTCATCACCAGCACACTTTTGCCATATTGCCATGACTGTTGAGCACATTCCTGCGTTCAAGGCCGTCCATGTGGACGGGCACGGGCCAGGCGCAAGGCCTATGCACGACGCTGAGTGCAATCGCTTGCAATATTCATTCGTCGTGAATGAATCTTCGATTTGGAGTAATTTATACCCTGGGATGTATTGGAACATCACAACACCTTTCGCACAAAGGACATGGCGTCACCCTAACAATTGAATCACGACTCGCAAAGGCTCAGTAGATTCCTGGCATCGTAGTGGGCACTTCTTAGGACAAACTCCTACGGTGTGAGGTTGTGGACAAATGGAAGAAACCACCAGCGGTTTTGCTATGCACATTGCCGCTGATGTACACTGCAAACGTTTATGATGTTGTGCACACGTGTATACATTTCAGCGCAGTGCCCGACTGGAGACGCTTGTGGCTGGAAAGGATCACTTGAGACTGTTCAAATCTTCTGTGTGCTTTCGCTTGATTGTTGGAATGGCGGTTCGCAAGAGACTGCGAGCATGCTTACCACATTAGCAATACAATGACATTGAATCAGTGATTGACTCCATCCTACAATAAAATGCAAAAGGGCCAACTTGTAGAGTGAGGGCGGGACGCCTTCCACCACAAACACCTTGAAAGGCATTGCAGAAGATGCATTGAATTAACTACCTGGAGTTGCATTGCTGTCCCCAGTTGTGCGGCATACATATTCTGTGTTCATGCTCCAGCACGCTGTTTGTCTGCAACCTCTTTAACTCCTTTGAATCTGCTACATGCAATCGAACGGATGCCGCAGCGCGACAGTACTTAAATTATCAGTTCAATAACCATCAGTAATTGGCCTTAATCCCAAACTCTTCGAGCCCTGATACCCTGATGCAGTCCAAGGTTGAGGTGCAGCAATTTATCTTGCGTTCCTGTAGATTCTACAGTACAGAAAACAGCCTGAAACATTTACCCTTCCGTTGGATCGTCAATGCGATATCGGAGGGTGCAGCCCCGCGCGGATAGCGGTCGCTGTTGTTAGACTAACAACAATCATTAGATGATCAATATCAGCAGCGCTCTCTCAGTAATCCATAGCGGTATAGTGAGATAGGCCAACACTTCGACCAATGCTCAGCGGAATCCACAGACAATCTTTCAGTCAATCAGCAAGTCATAGATTTTTCATTACTAATTCTAGCTAAGATTCATCCTATGTGAATAGCTGAGAGTCTAGAAGCAGCTGCACCCTCATAATGAGAATTAGACCAATTGATACAAGTCCGTTAAATGTGGCCACATTATATGGGCCTGCAATTTGCTAAGTTCCATTCATTGGATTTGCTCAGTTTATTCGAGTTCTTGGTGTATTGCAACAGAAGTTACAAATTGATAGTGTTGCGGTCCGTCATCAATCCAGCAAGTTCATTAACCAACCGAGATCACACAGATTGTGACCGCAGCTCATCAATAGATGATTTATCTATAACAACTCAACACGAGTCTGGAACAGCAATCGCTGAACGTCACCAATGGATGCAATATGTCAACCATAAGGCATCCCAGATTGCCACAAAACCGGCTAGGCGTTACACCTGCCAATTATGTCAGTGGCGGTTGGACAACAGTAAATGCTGACTGAGAATTTCTCAACGGCATCGTTGTCTGGCTTGCTTTCCGCTGAGAGCCCGGGGCGCAGCTTGCTCCTGGAGGACCGCCAACGAGGTGCCAGGCCACGAGGCCCAAAATGCCGACGCAGGACCAGCCTCAGAGACCATGGCGGTCAGACGAAGATATCGAGAGCGCCCGCCAGGCAGTTGAAGCAGGGCTGTAAGTGGCAAGCTATCCTTCCTTCCATGTCGCCACGCCAACACCGCCCAGCGAACTTTTTTCTGCTCCTCGCTCCGCCCCCAGGCAGTCCGTGAGCGCACGTTCAGGCAGTTGTGCGACTTGCCGGTCAAACCTTGACCGGCGCACGAGTGTCCCTTGGGTCTGGAACCTAATTCAACATTGCACGTGCTGATGGGGGTCTCGTGGATCTGCCAACGGATGCAATTTGGTGCTCATATGCCGGTGCAGGAAAGACATACTGTTCGCCAAAATACAGAACTTGCTGAACGTGGCGGTCGAAGGCATGCCGGCCCTGGTCAAACGGGTGGAGGAGCTGATGTTCAGCCTCGCGACCTCCAAGGTGACCATGGCGCGCTTTGAGTCAACGCGTGTCTCAGGGCCGCCTCATGTGGCGCCATGTGGGGCGGGGCGGCGCGGTTGCCGATGAGATCACGTAATGGTCCTGGGCTTGAAAACGTGCGTGTTTATTCAAATGTGCGGCCGCAAATTTCCATGCAGCTTCGCACGCGTTTGCACCGGTATGAGCGGCTGTGTGCATCACTCATATCGCTAGCCACTTTACGTGACACTGTTGGCTTCTCTTGCCCCAGACAAACCCTCAGACGACAAGCGTTCCGCACCGTCAGCACAAAAGTATTGATGCAATTCTGCGATAAAATGCCCGGCACTGTCGGCTCAGCGCGTTGACGCTTGGCCATTGGTGCGGCTGACTTTGAGCTCGACCGCAGGAGGAGTACAGCGATTTGCGCACGATCCAGCAGCGCCTCGACGCGATGGCGAACTGCGACTTGGGAACAATCGCGGCTCGGCTGTCTGCGAACGAGACGGCCCTCGGAAGCGCCGGCGGCCAGCCGGGCCAACCGTCCAACCCCCCTCACGCACAACCGGCCCAACCGGCTCACATGACCCGAACAGCGCCTGACCAGCGGCTGCATGAAGTCCCACCTTCTGCCCCAAACCGTTCGCTTGTGGACCTGAGAAGCGACTCCGAGGCACTGAGGGTCGCTCCTCTGTTTGACAAAAGTGGCAGAATGGGCCCCACGGCCCCCGAACTGGTGTCCTGGTCAAGCACGGCCGTCGCGCCCCCTTCCACAACAGCCCAGGATTGCCTCCAGCACGTTCAAATCGTCCCAAATGCGAGGGTGGGCGCAGAGGGAGGGAGGCAAGGTGAATGGAGGCAGGAGGATCATCGGAGGGCGAGCGGCGCTGGTGCGGCAGGCGAAACTGGAATGCCCGCAGGGCCCCAAGACACTAGGACGAGTGCGGGATGTGCGAATGGTAAACGGGCGAGACTGGACGGAATTTCTGTGTCTTTCGATACGCCAAGGAGTGAGGAAGGGACGAGGGCGTGCCGCCGAACCGTCGCCCCACCAAGTGCCACCCCCGTGACAGCCGCAGGGAATCAGTTGCATTTTCCGGCCGACCAGCCTGTGATATGCAACAAGGACATGGGGCCAACCGCGGCAACTAGATCGGAGTGTGTATTTAAGCGGCCCTTTGGCTGCGAGTCTCCCCAAGGACGCACCGACGAGGGCTGGCAGATAGCGTCTGGTATGGATGTGAACGAGCCCCAGAGCGGACGTAACGCGCCCGTCGGATGCGATAAAGGGAGCCAACGGGGAGCAGCTGTGAGTACATTTTGGTCCGTACATTGTGGCGTCCTGATATGGCGGACCCAGTGTTGGCAATTTTGAGACGTTTCGAAAACGCGCTTGATGGTTGAAGATGTTGCCATGCCGCAAACGCTTTCAGGTTCTTAGTCTTTCCAATAAGTTGTATCCAACAATAGTGAAAAATCCATGTATTGTGTATGTCCGTGTATTTAGTTCTCAGTAGTATACAACGTGTTAGAGCGGTACTAAATGTGCACCTAAAATTTTTATTTGTGTCGCTTTCCACCGTTGAACATGCCAGCCGTACGCCATGTCAACACTCTCCCATTCGAATGGAATACAGCGAAGTTCAGTGTCGAAATGCACTGCGCAAAATGATCAATTAGTATCCTTTTAAATGCTGAAAAGGTTTTCAAAATCGGATTCATCTTGTACAAACAGTCGAATAGACGTCATGACCGTCGTGTTGTCCGATCAACCGCCTTAATCTTTCCGCAAGTTGTAACTGCATTGGTTTAGCTCATCATGAATTTATATCGACTTTTCCGCAATAAAATCACCTGGCGGAGACCAAAATATCTCCAATTACAATGGCTGTTGCTTCAATTGTCATACGTCCTTGCTACAGTGCAGCGCATGTTTTTCTTGTAACAGCACCTGTGCCTCATTCACCCCAGCATGGATATCCCATATATGGATGCCAAAATTGGGTGGATGAAGTCTCGTTCGCCCATATTGTTTACAATATGCTTTTCACATAGATACAAAGCAATATGGACAGGTCAAACAAAGAAAAGTCCGGCATGAAAAAGCAGGTTATATGAAACGCTGAAAATGCGAAAAAGTACGAAACGCCTTTGCACGCGTATTCACCCAATATTGCTGTAGACCGCTGCATATTCATTCATCACCATTCAACTCGTTAATGAGCAATTGGAGATTACTCCCACCGCGCACCCGTCGTCGCCTCTCAGGGCCAGGCCCTGGCTTTCCTGCGCACTAACCTCCGAGCACAACGCATGAGCCTCTTTACCCTTCACCGCTGCCCAGGCTCCCTCCGTCAACCAGGGCACCTACTACGCCGTTCGCTTCCAGCCACCAAGCCACCCCCAGAACAGCTCGGGGCACGGCGCCTCCGGGCGTCCCGCCAACGCCCAGATCCTGCTGGTGCACGAGCACCTGCTGAGCCACTTCAGGGCCGTGTACAACGAACCCGAGCTGTTCCTGGACCTGGACCACGCCTGCGCCTGCGCCAAGCACCCCTGCACGGAGGCCTGCAGGCGAGGGAGGGAGCTGCTGCTCCACGCGGGCAGCTGTCCACACGGCAGGAAGGGCGCAGACACCAAATCGCGCGAGTTGTCGCCCTGCCAGACGTGCAACCGGGCCAACATGCTGCTGGAGGTGCACAGCATCTGCTGCAACGCCGCCGGCTGCCGTGTGCCCGGATGCAGGTGAGTCGTGTCGAGATTGAATGCACAGAATGCGCAGCAGGATTCAAATCTTGTTTCAATCAGCCTGTGAGCCATGCGTAAATTCTTAGGAAAGCGCGTGTCGAAAACCCTAGCTCATGGAATTGTTCCCTTCATCGCCATTCAGTTGCAGCGACGGCGCTTTTCCATGTATTGGCAGATTTGCCAAATGGACTAAGTGCTGCACGGTTGGAACCCGTGGGAGGTCGCGCAATGGTAACAGGGAAGCGCCCATTCGGGTGAAGTGAACACAAGGCCAAGACAATATTAGTAACAACCGCTCACTACCCAGCCACTTCTTTTGGTAGAGTGTTGGGTATATCTTTGCCATTCACAACCGGTGTGCCTCGGATGAGAACAGAAAGTGCAATGTACCAGAGGCAACGGTCTTTCGCCTCTGATTCACCGCAGCTTTCTGTCGATTGACAAAATGAACTCTGAATACGCCACAATCCAGAGTTGCAGCGACTCCTGTACAAACGCTTGGGAGCTTTGTATCTAATGCGTTTGCCGTTAGCATGACGTGCCTTCACAAATGCGTGTGTTTGTAGTTAACGGCACAGTCCATGCCTGTGGCCTTCCGCAGATTATCCATTCCTTGTGTTACCGTCGCCTGATTCGCATCATGAAACCATGCAATACTTTTGCCTCTGTGTTTGTTCAATCCCAGTATTGCGTTGTGGGCTTCTGAGAGAACGTAGCAACAAACTCGATATCGAGCTTGGAGAAACTTTACATGACCCCTGCTGCGGTACTCTTTAGGGAGGGGCAATCCAGGAGGAGCGCTGGTGCGGCTTCCAAGGTGCGGCTTCGACTGCCCTTGGCAGCCACATTCCAGAGAGCGTCACAGGCCCAGGGAACAACTTGAGAAGGGTACATGAGCTGTGAGCACAATGCGCACAGCCACCCTGCACATTCCCAAGTTCAACAGGGTCGCTGGTGCCACAACAGGCAAATGAAGCATGAGCACGCTTTGAATGGACGCTAGAAAGGGCACCTGTAGGTCCTATGCTCCCTTTTCCAGGGCGGACATGGGTGACATGTACCTGACCGTGCTGTGAACATTTGGAATGTTAAAAAGCAGTTGCGTGGTTTATCCGTGGGGCTCAATACCGGCTGGACATACTGTCAAACTAATTAGGTTGCCTCCCATGCGAAATGCGCATGAATGACTGATTTACCGCATTATCGTGGATCGAGCTTTCACGTTTCAAAACTCCCTGTGCTTGCCATAGGCGTGCGCTGCTGAATGTAGTTGAACCCACTGGGCAGTTCCAACGAAATCATTCTGTACACTGGCTTGCGCACAGAACTCTATCGTCCCAATTTTGAACCATGCTCTACTATAGTTCCCACAATTTCCCAATGCACACTGGAGCATTGCCGAGCACAACAAAATCCCACAAACGCAGTTGGCATGGGTGGAAAACTCAAGCTTACGCTGTGTGTGTGCTAACGCCAGTGACCACATACGCATGCTTGCCAACCAGATTTTAGTGCATCAGACGATTGTCAGGGCACTGCGCATCACCTGCAAGAATTGTGCACACCCACCCAGCTTGGATGAAAATTGGGACAACATGGCGACTCAGAAGGCACAACTTGTGGACAGGCAGTCAGTAGTAGTGAGGCAACACACACAACATGGTGCCCAGCGTGTAGTGCTATGAGAGAACTGATGCAACTGCAGGCATCCTCCTGTCCAGTTTCCCGTGCTGGGAAATATTGGACAATGCCATCATTTCCTTCAGCTCGACAGAAGCACCACCCCTGCATGACAGCCTCTGACAGTGGCATGCTTCATGTTAAAGCACTAGATCTGTGCATTGTTCTGTGCCCACTCTGTAGCTGATCGCCAAGCCCATGTGGAACAGCAGGCAGATACTGCACCAAATTCCAGATCTGCCACGAAATATAGAAAAAAATCAAAGGCCTCCGCTGTAACACTCTAGTAACGACCAGGCCAGGTGCCTTCCTCACGCTGTTCTTCCCACCTCTCAACCTGCACAGCGAAGCAAGCCTAATGTTCATAGACAACCACAGTGGGAGAAACACGTCAGTGGACATTCTTGGCTTTGATGGCTTGATCAACTTGTGGGGCAGTGCATGTCATTCCCACGGTGCATATCCAGAACTGTTGTTGTGTTCTCTTAGTGCCCTATGATTGGGCAGCAGCGTCTGGAGCAAAGGGAAGGCCACAGACAGTGAGATCACTACAAGCCTTACAGCATGTGCAATGAGCTAGCCCTGGCTTGCAACAAGAGTTACCAGGTCATATGTCTTGCAAGAATCATCAGGATCAGATTCTCTATGCTGCGTTGCACAAATTAAGACGGTTCTAACAGAAGCAATCGCTTTCACGATGAACATGTTCACTTTTGGCATAAACATACCCATTCATTCGGGCACAAGGACTGGTAGCACTTCTTGTAAAATGTGCATTCTTCCTCACTTTTCTCCGCAGTGCACCTTTGCACACCAGAGAAGATGTCAGGAACAAGCCAACTAGCCAGGCAGCCGCCAAGCCAAGCGTTTCGGATCTGTGTATGCCAACCAACGCCTGCAGAAGGCAGGCGTTTCCCTTTGCCTTGCACAGGCAAACATGACACAAGGAATGTTGTAGCCAACGCCAACAAAAAGGCCCCCTCCCCAATGTGGGACCACTGCGAGGCCTGCAGGATTGCCCGGAGAGAATACCACCGATTGCATTTGTCGACAAACAACAAAATGTAGACCTTGCGCCTTGCAGGCGACATCAGAGCAAGGTTACACCCATGCACAGGCAAGAGGCAGCCAGGGGGGCGGAACGGCTCGAGGGTACATAGCTGTGCCTTCCCTTACTCACTTGTAAAACTCGTTGTAACGGGTGTAGCACGTCCGCGCCTGGTTCACCGAAGGGAAGCGGCGGTCCACGGGGGCCGTCCAGATCTGATGAACAGGGATGAACAACCGCCATGGTTGAGAATGCGCACGAATTCGCGCACCCCGCTCGTCCACAGCTCCAGAAGAGCCAGCGACACGCCTCAGATCAGTGAATGCAATCACGCGCCGTAGTCTGCCGTGATGCCAGGAACCGTCTCCAACAGAATTCCTGCAAGGGTGCCCGGAGAGGGTCTGGTCCTTCGACACGCCGACTCCGCACCTTGATCTCCGGCCCTGCCTCTCCTTCCTCCGCCTCCTGGTCCCCGGCGTCCGCTGCGGCCTCCAGGGTAGCCTGTGGCGCCGCCTGCGGCGCCGCCTCGACGACCTGGAGACCGCCCAGCGATCCAGGCCGTCAGCTGCGATCAACTATGAGCGGAGCTCCTTGTATCAGTGGGCGGGCTGACGGCCGGAATGCGGCCTCACCGGCTCGGGTGCAGCCTCCTGCCCTGCGCCTGCCTGCGCCTCGGCAACAGAGATGGAGTTCCCCATGGCCCGGTGGCGACGAGAGGGAAAAACGAGCGCGAGTGCTGCGCCCCTAGGACGCTGTGTTGTGCGGCCCCGGCGGTGGTTGAGCACTGATCACCAGATGATCACACGGCCAGTACTCCTTGCGAACCGCACGGCCAGATGTCCGGCCTCCTTTTACTCTCGAGTGCGCCAAAAGACCTTCTGTGGGGGACAGCGAATTGGCTAATCTTTTGTGCTGGAATGCTGTTCTTTTTGTGGCTGTGTCCTGGCATTGCTTTTCCCGCGACCGTGCTCCTTTTTTCAGCAGCGGTGCCATGTTGGGCTACAGTGTTCTTAAGGAAACTCAAATTTCGAAGGCACCCAGCTCACTGGACACATTGACAAACCAGAGACGAAAGTGTGTTTTGGTGTGAGTTGGCGTGGGTTGGTGTGGGTTGGTGTGGGTTGGTGAAATTCAGTTATAACAGCAAGCCAAAGTGTTTGTCCCTGCGCAGAACCATTGTCGGGGCCCATTCACAAGAAAGGCGTTGCAGGGCTATTGTTGTCCAAATTGTCCATGAAGATCATCCCTCATAGAAGTCTGCCATCCCTGATCCATATTGGCTGCGCAGGTGTGGGTTGGTGTGTTTTGGTGTGTGTTGGTGTTGAATGGCCATCTTGTGTGAGTGGCAAATATGGCTGGTGAGACACGGCCATGTGTGTACACGCCAGAGTATGTGCCCGACCCAGATCCCCAGGCAAAGTGATCCTAGAGACACACAACAACCTGCTACTAGCCCAGCTGCAAAAACACAAATCAACTGAAAATGGCCAAGGCTGCTGACTGGGCCACCAATTACACCCGTCACAGGCTGTGACATGACGGATCCAACACTAATATTCCGCCTGGTATGACTGCGCTTTACGCACTCGGAATTACAAAGGAAACTTAGCTGCCTTGTCACTCGAGCTATCTCTCGTGCCAAACTGGCGAGCTGCCGTGATTCTTCATGCATTAATGAGCAAAAGATGTGTCAGACCAGTTTGCCCACTTTCTGAATTATCCTCGCAGCCCCCACTGTCAAGACCGGTCCGTAGGCAAACAGATTGATGCAAGTTGCAGTTAGCAAGGCTGCACCAGCTGCCTTCCAAAGTTGGAATATTTGATGGGTGTTTATGAACACGCCTACCCAGTCCTTGATACAGTTTTCAGGACTATGCACATTGTCCAGTGGTATTAGCACACCATCAGCATATACTTTGACGTCCAACTTCTTGCTGATTCTGAATATACCTTGGACAACTCAATTATCAGCAGCCTTTGCTGACAGCTCTTTCGTAGCTGGCGAGTCTGATTCTTAGTCAGTGAATGTCTCTGAGCTTCCTGTGCCCTTCCCTTTAAAGGGAAGGACCTAAATTTAGGTCAGCCTTCACAGGAGCTGGAGGACATTTTGATGACACAACTTCTGTGGCAGGAGTTTGAGACTTAATTTCCTGGCTTAGTTCTTTGGGGCTTTCCTCAGCCTGGCTCATGCTACGACCGGCATTGGTTTTTCAGAGTTTCGCTGAATGGAACTGGAGAACTCAAAGGGCATGTAATTACCAATTGTAATCAACATTTCCAATATCAAATAAACTGTGGGCACAACACCGGTCACTTTGGTGACCACTCAGCGTTGCTCGCTGTCACCGGCACAGTTTGCAGTAGACTCGACAAGTTTTGGGGATTCAAAAGCCAACACTACACAGTCTGAAATGACAGATTATTGTTTCTCAAATTTCACAAAGAAGTCTTAGAGGCTGTTTACCACTTGCTTTGAATACACTTTATACAAGCAGAACTTCAGGTCACCATCGCACTTGACTCAACAGCTACTGGCTCACTAAAACAAACACAACTGTTGGCAGCACTCCGACAATAATTCAACACTCTGACCTATCCACGACGTCTCCAATGTGCGCTAGTTTTCCCTTTTTAGGGTGTTGAAGTAGCTCCAATGGTGTGAGGGGCTCACTGTACATTACCATAGCACGGGAGGCTCGGCAAGCTGCCAGAACTGTGTATATTAGAATAATGTACAATAGCCAATAAATTGTATATTATCATGATTGTAACACTACCCAGTTGGTTTAGGGGACGCTCGGTGCAACGTATATCTGTTCTTTCTTCTCTCCCTTCTTTCCTCTTTTCACTTTCACCCCGACTGGTTGTTTGACAGTGGCCCAGTCAGCTGCCCTATGTCGGTTATGAGCCAGCTTTTGATGTACGGTGCTCACGACTAATGGCAGTTTTAGCATTGGTGTGTTGTGGTGTGCGTTGGTGAGTGTCGCTGCTGCATTGTTATGGTTGGGGTCCTAACATTAGCCATGAGTAGCATGTTCAGTAATGTTGAATCAGCACTGCGCATGCGTCCCCATTGTGGCTACTGTGCGTGTCAGGCGAGAAGAGGATCTTGTCGACCAGAATGTTATTGCCGAGGCGTTTTCTAATGTCACCTGCAAGTAAGCAAGGCTGGGGCAATAACTGGAGGAACGCCATTAGATGCCACCTTGCCCCCTATGGTATTCAAATGTGCAACAGATTTTGTGCAACAACTGCTGTGCCCATGAAGTGCATACGCCGTCCATCACACTACCATGCTTGGGACACGCTTTTGGCCCCAATATCTGTCGAGCATCCCCAGTGAGCACGTGCAATTGTTGTTAATCCACCAGGGTTGTTACGTACACATATTATGTGGATGAATCGCGTTCTTACATTTATTCATGTATTTTCCATATCTATCCGTGGTTGTGCATATTTGCACATATTTGTGTGCCCAGGGGTTCCACTGTTGGCTCGCCAGCGCCCGTGACTGCCAAGATATTCCCGCAGCCAATCGCGGTTTGTAAATGCGAGGTGGTATAGAGTGATTACCGGTGGATTCACAGCAAGCTCCTCGGCGAATGGTCGCCAAAGAAGGGCAGGATGCTTATGATCTGCATGGCGTTTGGGATCAAACGCCTCAGGGAGTCTGAAAACGGCATTCAGACGCGCTAGAGTGGGTAGAGGGTGGCCGTTGACGAATTATCCTCCGGAGCAAGCATTTGTTCGACAATGTATTTGTCCTTTTGCAAGGTCGAGGTCGATGCTGTTCAGGGGGCGCTAGAGGACACGGTGTGCGGAAATTTGTCTGCGACTGCTCGCATCATGGGTGTGCTGATGCAGTGTATTCGTGCGTTTTTATGGGCGATATATAGATTCTATAAAATCGACAGCAAAATACGGTATTTGTGTTGCCATATTTACAGTGCCGTGGACATAACTAGATACGTCCACTGCACTATACGATCAACTGTATAGCCGTCTATGTGCATTACACATGCTTGCCTCCAACCGCATTTGTTTCCATATTTCGATTGACCCCGTGTTGCTCGACAGTAAGCAATTGCCCTTGGAAAGGGCAGAGTGCCGGCGTGTTCAGAAGTGAACTGAAGAATTTCCAAACACATTGGGGGTGCTCCAACTTGGTTCGTTTACTGCACTGTCACCATGATCCTGTTGTGCGTCATGTACTGCGGAATGACAATTGTTGTGCCAGCCCCTTGCGAGGTTCAAGCGGAAATTACACGCTCTCTCCCTGCCTTTTGCATCAACAATTATCAGTTGCATAATAATCGATGTGGTAGCTTGGCGATCGACTCCACCAGCTCAGCGCCCCTCAGGGAACGAGACGTCAAGGATTGACCGATTGTCACGGACTCCTCATAAAATTATTGAAACACGTCGCACACGGAGTCAAAGCGAACCAATGGTGGACCGTCAGCGATGGTCCATCACACTCTAACGGACTGAGGCGGCAGTGGAAAGAACCACACGTATGTGTATGGTGCCCAAGTCCAGACTTGAACGAAAATTGGCAGCGAGTCTGTGTGATGTTCCAAGACCAGGGTTGAATGACCCCGTGGAATGAGTGATGGTGCACGTCAGTGTTGTGGTCCTAGTCCAGACTTGAACGAATGTTGACAGCGACAAGCTTCCGTGTGGAATTGCGCCACTGATGCAACGTCATCTTGAGTGCCAGTCTGTACTTTGTACTCCGTGTACTGTGCTCTCCACCTCTGCTTGGAGACGGTGTGGAAGACGGCAGGGGGGCTCAGTGCACGGCACGGGGGGCCTTTGTTTTCTCAGCACAGGGGCCACCCGCAGCTGTCGTGCCCTGGCCTCACCATTCCATCCAGGCGACCTGTGCAAGGCCGTCGTTTAGTTCGCTACCCCTGGCAGCCAAGTTGCCCCAGCCGGGGCAAATTAGCTGCGATGAGTGAGAATGAATCTGGCAGCGAGCCGCTCGCCCCGTTGACGAAAAGAATGTCGCTGGATCTCCCAGGCCTTCGGCACGGTTCAATAATGCAGAGGTGAGGGGAAATTGTCGGTCGAGGAGTGGCCTCGTGCGTCCTCAGGGGTCCACGGGAGGGCCAAGCTCCGAGTTGGATGGCCTGCGGCCAATTGCGCTGTGCTCTCATCGACTCGCGCCCCGCAGGGTGCAAAGCTCGGACGATGTGGTGTTCGCGGACATGGAAGCGAAGAACGAGCTCGAGAGGAAGGTCGAGGTGCGCAGGGGGAGAAACACCTGACCCGCAATGCCCCCCAGGGAGAGCAATGCACTTTTTTCCAACCCCGATCGCGCCAAAGTACGCGAGGTTCTCAGCCAAAGTTTAAAAGATGGCTTGGAATTTCTGTGGGAGGATAGAAGCACGTAACAGGCAGACGCATTTTCGCCAGCAAGCCTTTGGAGAGTGGAAAGGCATGTGACATCCTCCTGGGCATCACACACGTCACCAAAGGAGTACGATGCATGTTTCGTTCTTCAAGAGTTAATTGTATTTGCTGATAGAGGAAGGGAGGCAGCTGATGGGGAATTGGCAAGGGCGCTGCATAAAGGGAACCTGGTGCTATCTATTCCACCTCCAACGAATGGAGGACAGGGAATTTCTTCCCTTAGAATGTTGCAGACTGAGGCTGTAAGTGCAAGCAGGTTGTCTGGGATTGATCCAGCGATTCAAGCGAACTTCACTGGTCACTTGTGATGATACAATGTACAAGTTCAATGCCATGAACAATGCACGTGGAAAGGAATGGTCCAGATGAATGCAGCTGCTTTGTTCAAAGTTCGCATCGTGTTAGAGCATTCAATCGTCCAAGCCCTGCAGATGGGAGCCTCTTTGCCACTTTGCAAGATACTACAAGTCAATTTAGGAGCCCAATTGCGATAGGTAAAGGCAGCATGTCAGAAATATTGAATCAGAGCAGAGTAGCTCTGATACTATGTTGTTCAATCGCATTGTTGATCAAAACAAATTCTCTTTGACGTCATTTGTGTTGTGCTGATCAGAAATCTTATGTCGACGCTGATGAGGAAAGGCTGGCATCTGCCAAGGGCTCATTGCTGTAAGCAGCCTACACAAGGGATGGTGACCTTACAGGCCTGATCTGATCGGTGCACTACTTTCATTCTGGGATAGAAATGGAGTGCACTAAAGCTTGGTAGCCTCCAGTTTTCAGGGTCATGAAATGTATCTGCCAGCTGCAACCTTGCATAGAAGGCAACAATCATCTTCTTTGGACATGTATGGCCTGTCTTGAACCATTCAATTGCTACGCAATGCAAAGACAGACTAGGAATGCTGTCATGCGAATCTCTTCTGCTACAATGGACAAGGGCTTGTGCTGCATGTGGCTGAACTGCATTGTTGCCAGTGAGGCACATCTCAGGGCACATATCACTGCACCTCTGTGAATCGGCTCCACACTAGAGCTGCTGGCAATCTCCACATGGGGCTGAGAAAGGACTTCTCATCAAATTAGAACATTGCCCAATCTGAACAGTACAAGGGTAATGTGATATTACCAGTGGCTCGCCATGCACTCATAATCGTAGCCAATACTGTTGTAAACCTCAGTTGTGGGGAGCATTTGCAGGCAATTCCCCGATGGCAGTGCCCATTCACAAGAAGATGACTAAACCTCAAGCTTTTGTTCTAGTCATCCATGTTGTGTTTGATTGCTGTTAGATCGCACTGTTTGTTTGTGAACAAATGCATCCTTTTGCGAGGATTGTCCAATACCTATGATTTCCAGATATGAAGGTTATGAAGAGGTTAGTAAAGGTTGTGAAGGGTGCAGGAGCCCTAATTCCCACCCACCCACCCACCCACCCACCCATTCACCCCAACCCAACGCCCCAGTTGTATCCTTCATGACTGTCAAGTCTGGAAGTGAAGGGTATCAGACGTTTGTGCCTTGTGCACATGTGGCTGCTGAGCAAGTATATTCACAGCAACAACAATACATACCCAGAGGCCTTGACATTCCCCTTCATCTAGAGTTGCAAATGTCGTGAATACCATCTGCAGGCAGGAAGTCCTGGACATCTCGTCTGTGCTCTCTGATGGTGCAGCATGCCTTGTGGATGACTCATTCTTCCGATGCTTTACAAGTGCTACGCCCGACCCATGGAACTGGAATTTCTATTTGTTCCCACTGTGGGCCTGCGGTGTGGTGATTCGTTACCTCTTGCTCTTCCCCATCAGGTGTGCAAACTGCACAGGTTTGGCCTGTTGTCCTATCTGTTAAAAGTATGATTATCCATGCTGACAAGTGGTTGAGGCACAACATCGATGCTCATCAATCACCCTTCCTGGCAGAGAAATTCCAGTTTTGTGGCTTTGGCAAAGCAACCATGTCCTGCACTTCTGTGTGACTGAATACCATTGTGGCTCAGCAAGTTTGATTGCTGGCAATGTTGGGCACCTCTTTGGCCACTAATTGCTAATTTACCTCTGGCGGTGACAGTTGAATCCTGTGTATTGAGTCAGGCAGGGAACACAGAACTGCTGCCGCCTACCAGCTGCAGAGAGTGTGGCAAACCAAAATGCAAATCCAGAGTATCCTCAAATAAGGCTGCCATGTGTGTATTCGCTGTGATGCCCGTATCAATGTGACATACCAACAATAGTGCTGTTGCTGTTGCTCAAAATGCAGCCTGCAATGCACCCCACTGCAGTCAGTGCTGAGTTTGGTTCACTTACCCGAACTCATGGCCAGATACCCCCCATGATTTGATTGCAAGCTGAGGAGAGTTTTGGTGGTGTTGCTGCAGGTTGCTGCTGTTGCTGGGTGGATTTGCAGTGTTTCTGACCTCCTTTTTCACAGTTCAGCTCACGATGAGGGTGAGGCTCATGCAACAATGGCACTCTCGTTGGGGCCATTGTCTGTCAGCTGCGGCCTGGGATCTGTAGCCACCTGAGCGCACCCTTGATGTTGACTTGTGGCTTTTGCTTGTTTAAACTTCTATCGTAGATCTTTGGCAACAGAAGACCTTTCTGAAGCCATTGGGATGAACCCATCGGTCCCTATTGTTGGTGCCTTCTGTTGCCGTTGAAATGACCTTGACTGTGCAATAGATTGACCTTGACATTGTATACAGTGCTTCTTTGTTGGTGCACCGACAACTCAATGCTGTGTTGTGTGTTCTATTGTGCTCATCCGCACGAAATGCAAGGACTGTTCATGGGGCTCACTCAGTGTATTTGGTGTTTTTGTGATTGTTTCCCCCATTGGTGTTTGGCTTAAGCTTGTGGATAGAAGCTGGTCAGCGGGGCCAATACCTTCAGCATGTCTGTGGCAGGACTGTGCCTTGAAACGACGACTGGAGAAGGCGCTGTGCCGGTTTCAGTTCACGATGTTTGTGGTGTCCTGGACTGGTGTCATAAAGTTTCATGGGCCCAGGCCGACGGCCGCCCCCAACCGCGTGTGGGTGGCGAACCACACATCAATGATCGACTACATCATTTTGTCGTCGTATTTCCCATTCGCGGTCATCATGCAGTTGCACCCTGGCTGGGTTGGATGGCTTCAGAGACGTGTTTTGAATTGCCTTGGGTGTCTGTGGTTCAAACGCACGGAGGTAATGCTCGTTGTTTGGCTGGCTGGCTGAAAGTGTGTGAGCATGGGTGTGCACAGTATCTTCCTGTGCAGCTGCACCTACTTGCAAGCGGCTGAACTTTGGCCACTCTACGTACACTTGCAAAGGCAGTTAAATCTTTGCTCGTCACAAATGCCTTCAAAGTACGTGCCATGCATGCCACCATTCAACAGCTGGAAATTTTAATTGATTGCAGCTCCTGTCGCAAGAATATAATTGGGTTGGGTGGATTCACGCGTGGTGGCCCTGATTCTCGACATCATGAGCGCAACCAAGGGGGCAACTGCTATGGGCAGTTGTGTTCGCAGTAATGCCTTCTTCTGTTGTTCCCTTGTCACCAGGCCAAGGATCGAAAACTTGTCATGGAGAAGATGCGAAACCACATACGTGACCCCAGATCTCCACTGCTTATATTCCCTGAGGGCACATGTGTGAACAATGAGTACTCCGTCATGTTCAAGAGGGGGGCATTCGACATAGGCGCCACCGTGTGCCCCATCGCCATCAAGTACAACAAAATATTCGTGGATGCGTTCTGGAATAGCCGAAGGCAGTCGTTCACACAACACCTGGTGAGACTGGTAGTTGCGGACGTGTAGTTCCACCCTTGATTGCATGCTTGAAGTACATTTGCAAATATTGACAGAGGGCTGTTCTTCACCTTCAGGTCGATAACAGGCATCTGTGGGGATATTGGTGCTGATTTGTCACCGATACTTTTGTGGCAACCTGATGATGCCGAAATAGCCTGGTGCATACTCTGGTTCATATTGACGCCTGCAACTGGCAGCTGGTTAATGTGTGTGCAGCTGTACATTCTTCAAGATGTTGCCTCTGGTGCACCTTGTATAACTTGTTGTGTTTGAATTTTTTGGTTCTCAAAGTTTCAAGTTTGTCCTTCCATTTTAATACAATGGTTGGAAGTGATGGCTCGCCATTGGATGCGTCACTAATATTGTACCATTTTGCTCGTCGTCGACGAATCCTCTGTCACTTCACGGTGGCAAAAATTGCATGTTTGTTGTTCTGCAGGCGAGCCCCGTGCATGGCATGAATGTAATTTTTATCGATTAGCGACCGTGATAGCAAACGCTCTTCTCAATACTACATATTCTCTGTTTTGTCTTTTTGAGATATTCTTCTACGTTCATGGGAAGATGGAACCAACAGCAGCATTTTTGATAGCTTATGCATAATTTTGACTTTGCTCGTTTCCTGAAATTCCAAGTGCCCAAGCAATTACATTAGTAGTATGCCTGACCTGGGTAAGTCAGTGGTGGTTAGTAGTGCAGCAACAGGATTTGTGGCTGCGCAGCTCAAGCTGATGAGCAGCTGGGCGGTTGTCTGCGACGTATATTTCCTGGAGCCCCAGACTCTGCGGCCTGGAGAGTCGTGGCAGTCCCTGGCGTCCCGGGTGCAAGGCATGATCGCCAAGAGGGCGCAGTTGAGGGTGGTATCGTGGGACGGCTATCTCAAGTACTACAACCTTGGGGAGAAGCACCCGCAGCTGATTGAGAAACGGCGGCGCGTGTTCGCGAACTCCATACGCCGCTACCTCAGGAGTGAGGAGCCCAGTGAGGAGAGCCGCACGGGCGAGGCCGAGGGGATTGCCCAGCGGAAATCGCGAACCGAAGGGGCTGAATGAGCCATGGATGCAGGGCACTAGTATCGCTGGCACTGTCGGCAGGCGGAGGGTTGTACAGGGGCTTCTTGCAACGATGTGGGGATGCATTTCTGTGGGAATATGGGCTGTATGTAAGTAAGCTGGCTGTGCTGTAATCTGCAAGATATCAAGGCGCTTAGTGACATGCTGTCAAGCTTGTTGGTTTGATGGTGCGTTCTTTTTGGAACTTGGTCATTGCGTTCGCCATCATTGTCACTATGCTTCGTTTGATTGCGAGCCGCCTCAGTTTTGCAGCTTCTGCAGCGGTGTTTCGAGCGGATAATGCAATGCGCACCCCGGAGTGTCAGGGGGCCCCTAAAAGTATGGCCCATCGAAGGCGATGGGCACTCAGAGCTGGCGCCACAGTCCATGCGCAGCATTGGTCGCAGCAATGAGACACAAAAGAACATGCCAAGGATAGACTCAGAAGCGCGGTAATGTGTGCTTCTTCGGCTTGCAGTTGACTGGGATTCGTTTTGTTCATCACATCGTGCACCATGGACCAAGCGCTGTGACGATCATGGCCAAGCATGCAAATGAGGATCATCGTATTGTATCATAACCGAACAATTGACTTCCATGAATGTGGGCAATTCGAGGTAGCCCAGGATGTCCACGCGCCATTCGCACAGTGTGGGCAGGCAAACCCCAGGTGGCCGGCCGCGAAGCACAACTGTGCAGCATGCCAAGAATTGCAACGGCAGTGGATGCCTCTGTTCCGAATGGCCTCTTGAAGGTGCGTGCAACAGTTTACCAGCGACCCTTGCCCGGGATCAGGTTTTCTCCTCTGCAACATGCTATACGAGGACCAGGTATCGGAATATAGCGAGTGCATTGAAGGCGATGACAAGGGACCGTGGTTCCTGGAGTGTGGGAACACCAGGACAGCAGCCGAGGAAAGAACAGTCTAGCTGGCTGGCGTTGGCTACCTCTCATTCCACGATCAATCGGGGTACACTGCAGCATTTTTCTGCTGAACATCTGCTAGACGACGTTTGGGTTAAGCTATAAACTCCTCAAGTTCAGCTGGACACTTTGTTCAAACCGTGATGCTGTTCGCCAGCACATGCTGGATGTAGCATCACCATGAGGGTGTGAAGATCCGCAAGCGACATCGATTAACAGATACATCAATAGATCAATCAAATGACGTAAATGGGAGTGAACATCGCATATGGTCCACATGTCTCCTGCACTGTTGAACGTAATACAAGCTGACAAAGCCAAACCAGTTGGCAATGCAGGAAAGTGCCATTGAACATTACACCACAAAAATCCCCAACAATTATGGGGTCTTCCTGCAAATGTGATCACAAGGAATTTGTTGCAAGCCTGCACTGGAGAGGCTCCTGAACGCAAGCTTGTTGAAAGAACAGCTGCCAGCTGCAGAGAGCCATGTGGATGCAGTGGAGAAGATGTTCCAAGATACCCCCCTGCGACCACAATCCCTTGCAGACTTGGAAGAAGCGAAAGCAGAGCAAGGAGATTCGCAAGCAGTGTACATGGCTTTTACAAGAACAGCAGGGGAACTTGTTGTGAGGTAAAAGGATCACAGAACCATGACAGCCATGTCCCGCCTTACAATATTCTCAAGCATGGGTTGAGCATCACGATGGTTCCAGTGTTGCTGCGGCAAGTGTATTCTGGATATTGAAATGCAAAAAGCATATTGACGAAGAGTAGCCTGGGCCATATGCACCCTGCCACATAACAATGTGGCTGAAATTCTGCATCCACACACCACGCATCCAAAAGCCCCTAAGCCACACCCACTGTGAGAGGGTACCCATTGTCAACACTTTGCAAGAATCGAAGTTGAGCGATGCCCTCATGAGGTTTTCGTACAGCAGCCTTCCTGGAGCAGAGTTCACGTGTGTGGGCACGGTCTGAACCTGCAGACTGCAAAAGGCAGCGCAGTTGTCCAAGAGCAGAGTCATGACTGGCCACCTGAACAGCACAATGAACTCCCAATCAGACACAAGGCCTTGATCTGCTTAACTGGCTATGGGTGGCCTGCAACGACTCAGGCCCAAGTCGGGGCTGAATCTATGTAGCTGGCCTATGTCCTTTGGTTCCCTACACATCTGGGGTGTGTCCACTGTAAGACCTCAACAAATTGAGGCCAGATTGGGGCTGGCATCCATCTGCTGATGTGCTCAGGATATCGATCGGCAGTGTAAGGGCCAGATGTCGAAGCACAACCCCAGCTTGGGGCGCACTCGTGCTGCCTACCCCTAGCCATGCCGCCGCACTCCCCAACAACCCTTGCACAATATGGTTAAAGCTTGTCTCCATCAACGGCACATAACATCATCCTTATGGTTGAAGGATGAAATTATGCTTCATTTTAACATGTGGACTACAGGAGCACCACCAGTACAAATATTACTAATGTTTGGACAGATTCAATGTGCAGAGGTTGTGTTTGGCCTTGTGGACAGAGAAGCAATGCAAGGATTTCCGTTTGCAGAAATGCCCTATGTGCTGCCAACCTGCAGAAACCACATTGGCCACACACCCGCGCCTACAAAAGAGACAGGGTCCAAATTCGTCCGCGCTGTTCACCAAATCGCCGCAAAGTAGACGATGCAAAAGTTCCATTCTCAACCTTGTCCTCGCCCTGAGGACTGCACCTGTCCTGCAACATGCTCGGGACTTGCTCTCTCCAGCTCGTGACGACTGCAGTCACACGGGTGCTCTCTCCCCAACGACGCATACCCTGCCTTTTGGCCAGTGCCTTCTTCAAGCGCATTGTTTCAGCCATTTCCAGCAAGCGCAACCAACGCAACACTCCAGCCTCAGCATCCGCCGACCGCCTATTCGCCCTCCCACAGCCGCCTAAGCTGCTCCGCCCGCGCCTCCATAATCAGGTAGTGGCCCCGCTTCATGGCCTTCTTGCCCGCCTTGGTGTTCCCGGTCTGCCTGCGCCTCTCCCCGAGCGCCGCGCCGGGCCCGTCGAAGGGCGGCACGAACGCCCCCCGCCTCATCAGCCCCTCTGTCAGCCTCTCCACCTCCGCGACCAGCTCCTCCAGGGTGGGCCTCCGACGACGCGGGGCCGATGCCGCAGCCCAGTCGCCGCGATCGACCTGAGGGGATTGGCAAGATTCGCAAGATTCTCGAGATTCACGACATCCGTGATGGACAGAGATTTTCGGGGCCTTGGCGCCTTCTTCTAGACGGGACCGCGCTGCCTGCGTCGCGCGAGACATGGCGGCGGCCGTGGTGATCCGGGGAGGAGGCCGTTGGGCCTCGTGGCTGAAAGGGATGCGAGGGCGGCAGGCGAGCCAAGCTTCCTTCGTGTTGTCGTTTAGAGGTCTGGTCACAATGACGTCAAATGGCCGACGACTTGCCTTGGGGGTTTCGGCAAAGTGGGTGAAGCCCCGAGTTGGCATGCAGCGAAGAATTTCATGATGATGACGATGACTTGAGCAAGTTGGATTTGAAGAGCCCTTTGCCGCCTCGCTCCCGCGAATGTTTGCCCCAGAAAGGTTCCTTCTGAAGATTTGCCGATTGAGGACCCGCAAGAAATCCACAAATGGCGTTGCCAGTGCTTGGATCATCTTTATCTAATACCAGTTGTTTTCTTCTTTGCAATTCTAATTCCACTGGTGTTTATGAGCTGCGTTAAAAGCAGCTCCAGCAAACTGATCATTTGGAACCTATAGACTGTTCCCTTTCTCGGTTTGTTTCCCAGATTGAGTGTTTTTGAACTTCTCAGCAGACCGACTGCTTCAGGCTCACCAATGGCAGATGGGGAGCAATTTTCTGGCACGATAAACGTGGCAAGTTCGCTGCACAGAGTGAATTGGGCTGTCCAACAGATGAGCTAATTCCCACCACCGCGGCGACCTGAATTGAGGGAGACATCCAATGCTTCTCATTCTTTCCGCTAAATGGCGGCAACCAACTACCAACAAGTCCTAACACTGTTGGCATTGTTTCCCGACAGGCTGGAGTCTGTGCATCTCTCTAAGCAAACGTCAGTGGTTAGAGCCGCACTGCAGGTCCATATGGGCCAGGTCGTGTTTTTTCCTATAGTATGCTATGTTTGACATGTGTGCATGTTGTTGCATTCAACTCTTCGTCCCTTTCCCAGTCTTCTCAAATGCGCTCCCTGTTCATCCCCTTGGGCATGGGCTAGGGCCCTGCTTAGGACTGCCTGCGGTTCTGTTGTGTGAGTGCTTCCTACTCCCTGCTGCAATCACAGCAGAATGGCAAGGAGCCAGCAATTCTCAGACCATTGCAAGCAGGAGTTGGGGTCCGTCTGCTATATCTTGCTGCTGTGGCATATGAACAGAAGGTAGATGAGCGTCTCAATTGCCACAGCATCAAAACAAAGGTACAGGAATTGCTCCTGCTCACAATGCAAGGACAAATAATGGCTGTGCAAAGATCTTGCAAGTGCAATGTGCTTATGCCTGTGTGCGCGGCATGTGTCCTCACGCTCAACCACCCAAGATAGCAACTCGGGCCTGTGGCCCACTCCCTAGGGGACCTACGCCCCAAGCCGCCCACCTCCTCGGACCATGGTGTTGGCTCGCGCCGACACTGTCGGCTGCTCGGTACACAGGTCACCTGCAGTACATTAAATGTTGATGCCCCCCTCCCTCTCCCGTACATTCGGTGTCACCATCATCCTTGTTTGGAATACTTTGGTCACGTGACACGGCGAAAGCTCTTTCACCATATTGGAGATGTCGCGCAACCGTCCGTATGGCAATGGTTCCCCTTTGTTTGTCGCCACAATGTCCATCAATGTGCGCAGCCTGAAATGCTGGATGCCGGTCAAAGCCGAAAACGAAAGTAGGAATTAGAAAATATAATGAAATGTCCCAAAATTTTGAGCTCCATTGATCTTGATCGGACTTCAAAGGCCAATCCAGATCAGCGGAATTTATTCTAGGCATTCATCAGTGCTCCCAGTTGTCAAGGGAATCAAGAGATTGTCTCCAGTATGTGAAACTGCGAGCATATTCTCAACTGCAGCTGACCGAGAAATTGCAAACCCAGCCGAGTGAGCACAAACGCACTTGCATGGGCAGATACCAACTGCTCATGTAGGCCTAAAGGCCGTGACAAGCTGGCTACCGCCCCTTTCAACAAATTCCGATCGGGCTACAAATTAAATGGCATGACCTTATGAGAAGCACATTCGGTATGCTGCTGCCAGAGTGTTGGCCCGTTGATTCTTTCTGTTTTCTGCAAGGCATCAGCTCCCCAAGACCCCGTCTTTGATCTGACCTGTACTGGTGTGTGTGCCAATGCGAGGCTCCTTACACCACGATATTTGCAGCCTGTTTCATTTGCTATTTTCGCTAATCGTCCATTCAAGTACATTGCTCAATTTTCAATTGTCCACTGTTCATTATTGATCATTGAGTCGAACAGTTGAAATCTTCACTTCCCCATCCTATCCATCTTGATGGCGGTTCTGAGGGTCAGTGTGCTTTCGAAGTGCGGAGGGCTCCCCTGCACACATTAGTGTCGACTTCCTGGAGAGGCGTGCACAGCCAGCATGCTAGCGACCAACAAGTTGATTGATGGACACAAGGCCACACAATGTTGCAATGAAAACCGTCCTCATCCACGGCTTCAGTGTCGCCCAACATAGCAGCGCGAGTGCAATCAACAAACACAGGCAGGCTGGAAATTGTTACAGGTTATCAATGCCGAACAAATTCCCCCGCATACCAGGCCATATCGTACATCAGCATGAATTGGTCCCGCGGAGGCAACGGCGTTCTGATCGCCATGTGGTTGCTCTCTTATTGTCCCTGTGTCGTCGATCCATACAATGGGCACCGAAACCACCCAGTTTGCGTATCTATGCCGACACTGGGTCACATCTAAACACCCTAGATCGCGACAACGGGAAGCCTTCACAGGACCAGGAGCATCCGGCGCTCGGAACACCACTCCGAAGGGCAATGCTCTGCTGAACGTCCGCCTTGGACTTCTCCCAGCGAACCGAGCTTTATATCATTCCATTAAATACCCCACCGCACTGCATTTTAGAAATGGCGAAGCTAATTCATTCAGGTTCACCGCCAGGGGGGGAAGACATGCTAGCCATCTCCTGGGGATCAGAAGGAGACCGGAAGCTGAACGACGATTCGTGCGTCCCAAGGGAAGGTTGGGACCCAAGGGAAGCGATAGACACTTTCGCCCAGTCCTCGCCCTCTTCGTTGATTGTGTAGGGGTGGCTTTCCCCAAAAGCGTGTATGTCCCCTTGCTGGTTCTCGCCTTCCATGTTGGGTTCGATTCGAAACAATGGGTTGTATGTCACGACGTCCACCAGTTCCTTGACAGAATCTGACTTGATGTTGCCAGCAATTCTGGAGGAACAGCCACACCCTGGCGGGTGTCTCCTTCTGGCCATGGCTGAGTGCGTGAGTGGCCCCTTGCCATCGTTGATCTCTTTCATGATACCATCGTAGTGTTTGGAGCTCACTCGTTTCTTCAGCGCCCGGCACGAGCGCTCGGCGCCGATCTTTTCCGCGCTTTGTCCCACTTTCGACATCTGCGTGGGCAAGACAACGATCACGATGGCACAGAACGCCACCACGGAGCATACAAGCTCTGTGACGCCTTGTCCCGCTTCTTGTTGCAGTAAATCCACTCCGCGTGGAGATTTTACCAACGTGGATATGATGGCTTGGTCAGCTCTAGTTGTGCATGTTCAGCACAGGCAATTAGGTTTTGTCAAATGGTCGACAGGGCATTGATCAATACGTTCAAAGCAAGAAAGCGCGTTGCCTTTCGCGCCATTCATGTCCAATTTCGATATCATCGCGTTTCACTGCAGCCACCAGTGCCAACCTCTGTGGATCAAGTACTATTCTACAAAAAAGAAATGAAGCTAACACCTCTAATGGAATGAGAAATGAAATTTCTGTGGTGCTGAATCACAGCTTTTCCATTAGTCGTATGATGTCATTCATGAGAAGTTGTAAAAGGGATCTCCTCTGTTCCAGACCACGGGGCAGCAGTATTTGCAGTTGTTAGTTTCGCCTGTCAAGCTAATCCTCTGATCGGCTGCATCACTTAGAACACTACTATAAATTTGGATCACGAATGCAATGGGATTATAGGACGCAAACCACTGTCTAGGGCATGCATTGCCTCCCTTACGTTGCCTACGTAATAGTGGCAGTAGCTAACAATAGTGATATAATAGTGGTAACAGTGGCAATAGTCGTAATAATAGTAATAGTGGTAATAGTGGTAATAGTGGTAATAGTGGTAATAGAGGTAATGGTGGTAATAGTGGTAATGGTGGTAATAGTGGTAATAGTGGTAATAGTGTTAATAGTGGTAATAGCGGTAACAGCTAATTGATCCATAGCATGGTGAATGTCGCTGCCATGTCTTCATCCATACCTGCAGCAGCTGTGCCGCCTTCTCTCCCTGGCTGCTGCGAAAGAGCTTTGCCATGAACCCCGTGAACAACTCCCGCTCATCGTCGTTCGCAATGGCCAGCCAGTGCGCCAGTGCAGGCCTGTCCCGCCAGTTCAGCACGCTGTTCAGGGGCAGCTGCTCCACTTTCTTTTTCAAGTAGAAGTCTGTGTACAGGGCCGTCGCAAACTTCAGAAAGGACCCCCTGGAGGCGTCGTCAGTGACAGCCAAAAAATCCACCAGCTCCGGAAAGCGCTCCACGAGCTTGCGCCAGAAGTCCGCCACGTTGTCCATGGACAGGTAGGACGTCTCAGACTGGTCGGACATGAAGTCCTTGAGCATGTCGGTGAGTTTGTCCCAGGCGACCATGTTCTCTGGGTTCTTGATCAGCGCTTTGTACAGGAATCCAGGGTTGAACGTCATTAAAAGCTCATCGCTGATCTGCAGAGAGACCATACATGGGATCACATATGGCAAACTGCGACAAAACATGGCCTTCACAGCTGCAGGGCCGTGGGTATTCTAGGAAGCTGGATGTCGCTTTCGTCTAGCACCCCTCCGAGCTTGCTGTTTGAGGCTAAGCAATGAATGACACGGTGCCTTGTATCTGCGCAACAATGTAGAGTGTGCCCATAACTTGCGTTCTCATTCAAAATCCAACAGGTGTCAACATGTCTGCCCAAACCTCACGACAGCAAGGAAGAGGGACGGGAGTCTGCATAACTCGTCTGAAATCATCCCAACAACGTCTGTTGCCTGCATGCCTTACAACTTTTACAGAAGGCATGCAGATGTTTGGAACGCCCAACCACAAAAGACCCAGGGTCAGATATTTAAGCCCACTTTGACTCGTTGTGGGCTGATGTTCATTGCATAGAGAGGCTGTGCCTTGTTGTTCACACCAACATGCATTTCCGCAACTGGAACTATAGAAGCAATTAACATACATACATTGTTTCAAACAATGAAGAGCCATTGCTTTGCAAACATCCAACAATTGCAACTGTCTGCAACATGCAAGGACGCTGCAGCAGACAATTCCACAACCCGCACACCAGCAGGATTGCATTGTTTGCAGAAAGAACAAGGCAAGTTGTGAAAAGGACTTGTTCCTAACAAACGATGGTACTTCGTGTACATCTGTAGTGCACTGCGGGTACTGTGTCAACGGTCACTGAGTGGACGGGGAAAAGGGATGGAATAGCATGTCTAAGAAAGCATGTGCTCTGTGACACCTGTTAATCCACTGTTGCCGATGGTTGAAAGCGCAGTGATTTGCCTTTTGTGATAAACTACCAGGAATAGCCTTCATTCATCCTTGTTGGTGGACAATGAACTTTTTATTGCGGTGTTGCTGCTGGGGTCATACTGCCCACCTGGCAACGATGATCCTTCTTGGAACTGGCGCCAATGTGGCTCCATTTCTGCGAGTGTCTTCCAGTCCTCAGAAGTATGTGCCGGTGGCGTTTCCTAAGTCTATGGACATGATACATGGACCTCATCTCCAACACAAATATGACAGCAAACACAACCACCATAATGAAGAGGGCGGACAGCACGAGCCACTCCAAGATGACCCTGTTTGAAGGTGGAAGGTTGTCACTGTAGAACATGGCCCCGCCAAAGGCAACTGACATTAGGGCCAGCAGCAGGAAGCTGAAGAGCAGGTCGAAATGAGTGTCCACGTATGGGGCAGTGATCATGTGAAGCATCAGCGAGCCGTTGATGATGATGGCCAGGGCAAAGGCCTGGAAGGCAGGGCTGCTTAGGCACACCAACACCAGCATGAAGAGCAGCTTCCTGGACACAGCCACAAGGCTGGTCCAGAAGTAGTCAAGCTCGAATCGGCGGTACAACCAGCCGTACCGCCGTAGGTTCACAGGCTCCTGCAGGGACTGTTGCCTGTGGAGGTTCCATATCTTCCAGCCCACAAAGGCCAGGAAGCCCCCGCTGTAGGCCAACATCCCGAACACCCCAAGGCATTGGATGATGAAATGCTCCCTGGAGCCGCAGACTATATCCAAACTGGCCTGCAGGACTGACACACCACCGATTTCCCTGCATTTGAAAGCGCTGAAACTGTACTTGGTGACAGTGATGTAAGTGACGTCTAGGGATGAGAGGAATGCCGCGATGCACAGATCCCAATTGGCATTGAGCTGCTTTGTGCTCTCTGGGATTTCAACCAGCCAGCTGAGGGACATGAGCCGCTTCCTCTGTGGATAGTTGGCGTTTTCGTATGCCTGCAATGCCAGCCGGGACAGCAGGTATCCCATGACCCTCATGGACGTCATGACCAAGGGGAGGGCCAGCTGAGCAACGACGCTGTGCGTGAAGGACCATGGCAGGAGGCAGCTGGGCGAGAGGATGTCGACATCGAAGTCCAGCACGCTGGCGACGCTGAACACTTGCGTGAGTCTCTTGGGCCAATTCAGGTCCACTTCACCAAGAACGTTTGCTAATTGGGCCCAGGACAGCATGATGTCGAGGGAGGCAACGTTCCTGGAGACCACTATGTTAATGACGTACCAGGCCACCACCAGTACCACCATCATCGCGATCACGGCTGCGGAAGAGATGCACTTGTAGCACCTGCGCATGAGGACGAAGTAGCCTTCTGCGCATTTGGAACACAGCCTGCACAGGCATCGACATCGAAACTGTCGTGATGGGGTCAGGACGTGGTGGCTGTCAAATCAACTGCCAAAAGACGGGCAGATTGCAAGAGATTGACTGAAAACATCAATGGCCCCAGTTGAAGTGAACCGCAAAGTTGTAAAAGCAATCAGTGACCCCAGTTGAAAGCGAACGAATTTGCTTGCTTTCCAGGCGACCGTGACTTATGGGACAACGGCACGCGTGCGACAAAGATCTTCGCCACTGCGAACGCCTCGCAAAATTGCAGCCCTCCAAATCACAGTTCTCCCTGGGGCGGATCGCGAACACTAACCAAACATGCCCATTCCGCGAACGGCCGGCGTTGGCGCGCACCTATCCGTTTGGCCCTCGATGCACTGCTCCCCGCACTCTCCCCTGCATATGAACCCCGGGTCGCACTCGTACACGCTCTTGGTCCCCTCGTCCATCCAGTACCCAGCCGTCGCGCACGGCGGCGCGGCGCCCCCGCTGCAGTTCAGCCCCACGGGGCACTCCCGGCACGGCCCCGCCACACTCACGCCCTCTCGGTAGTAACCCGCTCTGCACACGCAGGCCTCGATCCCGATGTTGTTCCCCTCGACCTTGGTGTTCTCCGGGCACTTGCTGCACGTCGTCCGGTTCTCCCAGTACAGGCCGGGCGCGCAGCCGCGGCAGGTGGGCTCGTCCATGCCGATGGACACCCTGCCCACCTCGCAGGGCCGGCACGGGTCCAGCCAGTCCTCCGCCGCCCTTGACAAGAACTGCCCCTCCCTGCAGACCTCCCTGAACCGGTTCCTGGCTGGCAGCACCAGGTTGGTCGTGGCGGCCGCCACGGGCAGCACCGCCTCCACCCTAGCCACCCCCTTCGCGTCCAGGTGCACCTGCGTCGTGATGGGGTGCTTGCCGATGTTTCTGCCCAGCATGTCGAACCGGATCTTGCCGAAGAAGGTGTCGACGTCGAGCCCGGCCAGCGCCAGGGTGACCCTCTCGTATCCGGTCTCCCGGCCACCGTCCGAGCAGTCCAGCGAGCCGAAGAGCAGCTCGTCGGGATCCCCGCCGGTGGGCAGCACGTCGCAGCTTCTGAAGGCGTTCTGGATGGCCCTGGCGAGGGCGTAGCCTGCCGCGGAGGCCGCCGCGGCCCAATCCGTGGGCCGCGTGCCATACTGGGCTCGGAATGCGTCGGAGTAGGCCCTGGATGAGGAGAAGAAGTCGTCGTGCCTGTCGACGCTGCTGTGCCACTGCGCGGCGCTCAGGAGGTTCTCGACGCGCTGCGGGCTCTGCGCGCCTCGCACCCAGTCGTCGTCGGCGGGGCCGTCTGTCAGGAAGAACGCTTTCAAGGGATACCTGCGGCAGCAGCGGCAAAGCGGAGAACGGGTGAGGGGGACTGGGCTGCAGGGAGCTTGTCAGGCTTCAGGGCGACAGGTGGGGACCTTAAGGCTGCTAGTGGGGCCTTAAGGGAGCCTGCAGGGACCTTAAGGAAGCCTGCAGGGACCTTAAGGCTGCTTGTGTGGCGTTAAGGTTGCTTGTGGGGACTCACGGCTGCTTGTGGGGAATTCAGGATCTCGGCGGGCAAGGGGCACACGCGAGTGTTTCTGTGGTTGGGATGTCGACGGCACAAGCGCACAGACAAGATGACATCCAGTCGCGCCGGGTGTTCAGGCGCTTTCAATCTGCGTTGATATTGACGTTTCGGAAAGCGGGCAGTTGGTGAACGTTTATTTGGACGCTTTGACTAAGGCATGGCATTGACGTGCAAGGAATTGCGTGCATTTATTTGGGTGCTCCACGCGTGGACGCTTCAGACTAGCTGGGCAGCATTTGACGCGCAGGTTCCGCCTGCACATCACTTGCAGCCCCGCGCCTGCCCTGCGCTCCAGTTGCTTTTGCAAGAGCTGACGCATCGCATTCACCAAGCGCTCGTAGCTCAGCCTGAAAACCACGCCGCGCCGATCAACGGGGTCCCGCTGCGATGTTCCGGCATTGCGAAGATCTGACAGGGCCTTGCTCGATTGTTGTTGCTCTGGGAGTACCAAATTCGGATCCTAGAACGCGCCGCCGACCATCCTTCAAATCCAGCCCTCCTTGTCCCGCTGTTTGAGAGTGGCGCCAGTCAAACTCACCTGCACGCTGACTACTCCCGGGCTCAAATCACAGCGCTTTCCCCCCCGTCATTGACGCGGTCGTCGCCGTCCACGCACGCACCCCGACAATTGGCGACCTGCCCCGTCGACGCGAACGCTTCTGGGCTCGACCGCCGCCCATCGCGCGTCCCCCGCCACGGGGCGGGGGAGTCCGCTCTCCCAAACCCCCACCCCCTACCCCCGCGCTTCCTCACCTGATCCTCTCAAACTCATCCACCAGCATCCGGCCCTGCCCTTCGGAGAGGCACGCCAGCACGGCCTCCGCGCCAGAGCCCCTCGCCTTGGCCGCGAATTCCTCGATCGCCACGCGGCCCACGTCCCCCCCTCCATCGCTCCCGACGTCCGCGACGCCGCCCACAACCTCCATCCCCTCCTTGTTTACCCTCTCCTGGTACCGCCGCACTGCCTCGACCCCCGCATCGCAGACACCGGCCGACGTCTCACGCGCACCGTCGGTGACGACGGCCACCCGCCGCAGGCCGTTGAGGTTCATGTGATTGATCGCCAGCTCCGCGTACCGCCGTCTGCTCACGGCCACCCCGAACACGCGCCGCCTGCCCTCCCTGAACACGCTCTCATTCCCGGCGCAGCAGTGCACAACAATCCTGCCCGCATCTTCCGCCCTGGCGGACTCTTCCTCCGCGAATCCGGGGCCCGATCCCAGCAAGAAGTGCGCGCCGCCCTCCCCCAGCTGCTCTCCCACGAGGTCGCCGTGCCTGCCCGCATCCCCAAGGTCGTCCGCCAGGGTCAGGTCGAACCTAAAGTACAGTGGCCCGTCCCTCCCAACCACCTCCACGCCCCGCCCGCCGTTCCGCCTATTGGCGAACGACTCGAACAGCCGGTAACCCCTGCCCGCCTCCGCCATCTGGCCCCCCGCGGACCCCTGCTGGCTCAGCACCGCACCAACAGCAAACACACCCGGGCTCCTGCCCCTTTGCCCTATCGATCTCACACCATCCCTTTCGATGTGTTCCCCCATGATGGGAGCCACGAGCCACATGAGCGCCACGGCGACATGCCACCGCCCCATGCCGGACGCCATATCCACGGGGCGCCGCCCAAGGCCCCTCGGCGCCCGGCGCCCAAGGGGGGAGGGGGCAAGGGGGCCCGCGGCCGCTCGGGGATCGCGGGGAAGTCGTCATTGGCCTGCATGGCGGATGGGGGCATCACTGGGGGGCGTCCCGGCAACCGGGCCCCACACGAGGTAGGGACGACCTCAATGGGTTGATTCCAGGGGGGCTGTCTGGTGGGGCGGGACAACAGGCCGGGCCGAGGGTCGCCCATGTGGGGCATGATGGCCGGGGAGTATGAAGGCATCCCGCATGTGGGCTTTGCTAATGGGAACCCGCAGTACGCAGCCATTCGGGCAAGTAAGCGTTACGTAAGTGGATGAGGGGGATGGTGGGTCGGGCATGGGGTACGGGTGTGAGCGCTTTGAAGTGAAAAGGTCGATGCAGAAGACTGGGAGGGGCCGGGTGAGATGTTCCATGCTCCGTTGGGGAGTGGACGCCCAAACTGAGTGAGGGCGCGAGCTGCGGTGCTCTTCGTGAACTGGGGGCGAGAGGGGGAACCCAGTTAGTTGCTATGTCTTTTCCGTGGAGATCCCTTCTTGTTTCATACAGCCTAAATGCCATACCAACCACAAACCCACTGGCAGGCTTTGGCCTTGTTAGCAGAAGAAAAAGGGATCTTCAAGGAAAAGACATAGGGACTAATATATTCTCATGAGAGGGCGCCATTGCGATGTTAGTGAAGAAGGTCAAACATGATTTGTGTGTTGAGTGGCGCACACTGCCTAAGGGCTCGAGGGTGGGTTGTTGGTGTTACGATAGGCAGAAAGACACGATTTTGGAGGTGCCTCTTTCTTGTTTTCTCATGCAAGGAGGTCAGTAACACATGCAAATTAGTGACAAGGTGCTCTCCTCTATTTGCATTTTGATTACTTGTGCTATTTGGATACTTCACTTGTTCGTTCACGTTATGCATAGAAGAGCGCCCCCCTAATCATCTTAAATCCCTTGAATACAGATATGCAAACGCAAATGTTGGTCACCATATGGTTGCCTCACCAATCAATATAAAACTGAATGGTACCCATCCTCCACAATAAGCAAACCTCTTTTTCACTTTTACGTTGTGTTTGGCCTTCATGCCAATGCAACTTACAAATCATATTTGATTTCCATTTCCATAACACAAAACCACACCACACATGTTTTATATACCCGTTTGAGAATCAGTACGTGCTGCATGTGATTATGTTGCAGTTTTAAAACATTGAATATCTACAATTATGTTGGCGGCCTGAATTTTAAATTTCTGCAAACATTTTGCGATTCAGAGTATTGTCTTGTTTCGGCCTTCCTTTATTAGCAGAGGATTTTAATATGGCACTGAAGTGGCTTTTCACTTGCTTGTGATTAGGTTGGCATAGGTAGGCATACTCAACACTTTGATACACGATTCGCAAGGCAGTTGCATATATTCGTGCACAATCCACCTCTGTGGTAATGTGGTAGCAAACCATAGGTTTCTTGCCTTGCCGAGTGGAGCTCGGCCCGTCACTAAAGTCGTGAAGGCCATATGTGGAGCGAAGCAGAGCAGGCCGGAACGACTTGGGCACAAGGGCCGAGCGTAGCGAGGCCTTTAGCCGGAAAATGGGTTTGGCCAAAATGGAGACGCTTAATGAATATGATAACTTTGGTGATTTTGGCCGCCACATATAAGAGCGCCTGGCATCGGCGTTGATTGTAGCTCGATTGTTCTAGAACGCCTGTCTCCCTGCCTCCTCGGGCGCAGCAGCCGCGCGCCTCAGACGAGACCGCACAGAGCGGCCATCACCCACGGGCCAGAGAGAGCCCGGGATATGCCGTCCGGCCGAGGACGACCACGCTTCCACCGGAGAGGCCCTAGCATGCGGGCCAGGGTACCTGGACGCGGCCAAGGGGGGACTGCATCAACAAATTGGTTTCGGAGCTTTTGGCTACAACGATCAGGCGTCGGAGGCAAGGCTAGCGGAGCAGCCTTGTCAAGGTACAAGCCGGGGCGACAACCACGTTCAACCCCCTTCCGTTCAAAATGCCCCATTGCACACTGTGGTGTAAACTACAGGGGGTAGTTAATGTTTCTCCATATGGGAGCTGGGAAGTGGAGTGTACAGTGATTATGTTATCTCAGGTGAAAGTAGACTCTGTTAGGAGTCCATAGGTTTTTGAAGCACCCCAATTGGCTTAGTGGTTGAGGAGATATGGCTAGTTGAATATCCAGTACTTAGGGCCCTCTCCTGAACCGTATTGGGGGATGAGATACTATCGCTGGACATGATACGATACGGTGCGCTGCATTGTCACGTGACACGCGCTGGTGGCCGCCCCAAAAGGGTGACCACCTGACGCAGTATTGTAACCGTTGTTTCCCCTGTCTCGCGCCTCCCAGCGGCTGCACCCGCGAGCCGCACGGCGCCGCGCACCCACTGCGCGCACAGCCGCCCCGCGCCCGGCCATCCCTGCGGCCTGGGCCCACGCTGCGTACCCGAAGACACGAGCGCCCCGGAAAGCCCGTCGGCAATCCGGCGGAGGAGGCCCCGCGGCCTCATTGGGCGTCTCGGCGGGCGCCATCGCCCGCATCGAACCGAAAACCACGCCAGGTGGTTTCGGAGCCGGCGGGTGCGGACGGCGGAAGCGCGCCACGCGGCGCCAGAGCAAAAGGGGGGCCCCATCCCGTCGGAGGGGGGCTCCCATCCGGGAGATCGGAGGATCATCGGCCGGCCAGGCACCCCGCGAGGGGCCTGAATCGGCCAGGAAGGAGTCCGCGCGCCAGGCCCCGTGGGGGGAGGCGCATGTTTTTGCTGTTTGTGCGAAAGATCCGGTTGTGCGCGGGGGGGAGCATTACACCGCGAGATCGCCGCGGTTGGCGGCGGGGGGCGGTGCATTGCCGCGCATCCCGCGAGCTGTGACCGGCGGGGTGAAGTGCGGACCGGGGGCGACCGGCCCCGACGGCGGGGAGGCGCAATCGGCCGCGGAGGCCGTTGGATCCGGCGGCGGGGAGCGCCAGGATCCCGGAGGGGGCGGTGCAGGAACGAGCGGCGGCCCGACCCCGACGCGGACTGCGCAGGGGGTGACTGGACCCTGCCACCGCGTGACGTGACCGCGGGAAGCGGCGGGAAGCGACCCGCGCTGTGTACTGCCGACCAGGGGGACGCGGAATAGCGACCCGGTGGACGGGGGCGGCGAGTAGCGACCCCTGGGTGCCGGGGGTGTGGAATAGCGACCCCTGGAGGGTCCTGTGGCGGGGGGGCTGTGCAATAGCAACCCCTGGAGGGGGCCCTGACTGGGGGGCTGCCCAATAGCGACCCCTGCGTGTGAGTGGGCAGTACTGTGCAGTGTTTGGACCATGGTGGAGCGGAGTTGCGACCCGGCAGGCGAACGGCAGCTTCCTTGGAGATGTTGAGTGGGTACCCTTGACCCTCTCAACAGGTGGACAGCAGACAACAACCGACTGCAGCATCCTTGGAGCAGCTGAGGAGGTACTCTTGACCTTCTCAGCAGGTGGACAGCAGCCAGCAGCGGACGACTTTTTCCTTGGAGCAGCTGAGGGGGTACTCTTGACCCTTCTCAGCAGGTGGAGAGCAGCTTCGTGGAGTCTGGAGCTACCCCTACAGTCGCCCACGACGTATTGTGGAGTACGACAGCTCCCCAAGAGGCTCAGTAGGGTGCCTGAACACCAGAGCCTGATCTACAGAGGCCAGTAGGGTGCCAGTGCACCAGGCCCAGGGCCCTCCGAGCGGGCCAGTGATAGTTTGGGGGCCGTCCCACTCCATTAGGGCACTTGGCCAGGAGGTCGGGGGGCGAAGGGCTGAAAGTCACGGACTGTACCTGACCAGCCTAGACAACTGTGAAGGGTTACAGGCCCGCCTGGTGGCAACAGTACCTTATCCAGAAAAAAGGCTGACCCCAGGTTGAAGCCGGCGGCCGCCCCACAGTTGTTAGGGGGGTGCAGTAGAAGTGGGTAGACGGGACACGGACCGGCTTGCACCTTACATAGCCCCCCAGGCGGCGGTCAGAGGGGAAGCTCTTGGTGCCTATCGCTCGCGACACAGGACGGTAGAAGAGCGGCCTATAGTGCTGCGCAGACACTTCTACTATTCCTAGCCTAGACCAGTGCCCCCGAGCTGCCATCCGGGCGAGGTGTGGCGGAGGGGCTTCGAGCGGGTCGGGACGTGAGGCAGTTGTGTGGCCGTTCCTCCGGGAAGTCCTCCCCAGGCAAGGGGGACAGGAAAGGTTCAGTTTCTGATCAACTGGTGGCATTCCCGGGGGTGTGGCAGGGAAGCCTCTCTTTAGAGGGGTGAGTAAAGTACTCTTTGAGTATTCTTAAATTCCCTGTTGCTAACCTAGGAAGAAACTGGTTGTAAAGGGCTGTTCTGGAACTGTTGTGGTGAAGCCACTTGGCACCTTGTTGGTTGGGGAAGTATAGTACCCACTGACTTGGAGACGTCATTTGGTGGATCCTGGGGCTTCTCTGAGCGATGTAGAGACTACGTACCAGGATAGCCCTGGTATTGGAGGCTTCCGAAAAGCCTTTGACTACGGTCTACGCTCAGTCTATTCAGTTCAGTCAGCACTATCAGTCTTCAGTCATCATCATCATTCTTTCAGCTGTTCGGTTGTATTTTGCTGGGATTATTGGGGATTCATCCTGCATTCATTATTTCATTCTGCATTCTGCTGTTTTTGCGTGAGTGAGCAGCTATGGCAGATAGAGGGGATCCATTGGCATTTTTGTGGTCGGAGATGGAGGAGGCCATGGGTCCTGATGCTGTTCTCTCTGTGTCTCGCCCTGCAACAGTGACTTGTACTGTGTCCGTATCTGAGGCAGCTGATGATGCACAGCTACGGCCTCAGTCCCCTCTACATGCTGGTATTTTATCCATGGAGCAGCACGTAGATCGTATTGCATCGGGGACAGGAGCATGTACGAGTA